GTGAAAAGTATCTAAGATGTTGCCCGGGGATATAAGGTACCACCGTGCAAAATTTCATCTAAATCGGTTCAATAGATTCGGAGATTAACCCGTACAAACAGACAAACAGATAAACAGACAGAGAAACAAAAAAATTGAGAAAAATCTGGATTTGTTCTATTTATCTCCTTACATCCCCCTGACTCGGTTTTTAGCATTTTTTCTATGTACAGACATTCGGCCTCTACAGTTTTATTATATGTATAGATTAAACTGGCTGTAAATCTATACATATAAACAGGCAAAGACCAAACAGCTCAGTGCCTTTTTCTCCTCTGTTTGTCAGTCTATTTTCTTTTTTTTGTTTAGTAGCTATTGACGAGAGTGATAGTGTTACGAATAAAAAAAATGGAAACAGTTTTTTTATACATAAATATTGATTCTGATCATTTATGTTTTCCTACAATTTTCAATAATGGTTATTATCGAATTTCAACCACTAGACGAACACTACTAATATTGTTTGGTATTTTTTGTGGTAACTATGAATGTTGGCACTATTGTTTAAATTATCCTTAACTTGACTCTCAACTTACGTAAGTATAACTGATTCACGATTAATGATTGCACCCTATCTTTAATTGACACTGTGCCAACGTGGTCATCGTTATGACGTGCTTATATAGTTATGCCCCTAAGTTTTTGGCAGCTTAGCTTAGAAGAGAATGAAGTTTTCATTTTAATAGACTATTTATAATTGATCTCCCAAATTTAAAGTGTTTGAAATGTAAAATAAGTCACAATATGGTTATAGTACGCATGAGAGCTCTACATTTCCAAGACGGCGTAAAAGGCTTTCAGACTTTTAGCTACCGGCTGCTGGATGAGTTACTGCCATAGATCAGAAAATAAAAAGAAAAGACTAACTAAGACAGCTCTTAATCTGTTGCATTTCACTTTGGCGTTCAATTCATTTTGGATAACCAATTTTTGCAGTAAAAATATATTACGTTAAATATTAAGATATTACCATATTATTTTAGTACCATCAGAGAAGCTTTTGGTTTTTCTCATTAGTGGGCATAAGATGATGTCAATTTGTCTTAAATTAAACTAATTGATATGTAACTTTCTTTAAATGAGAATCGAACACGAATGTTCTATATTATGCTCGTATGCTCGTATACTGAGGTAGACTTACATATACCTATTCGCCTCGATAATTATCATAATTATACGAGAATTTATGTGAGTAAATGAAGAGAAAAAAATCTTTTCCTGAGTCTATCTGAGTATCAAATCAAAAGAGATATAAGAAATCTAGTAGGCAAAGATGAAATAGGTCAGTACCTCTTTCTCGTGTGTTGTCGTTTGGTCTTCAAACTTTTAGTGTTATCAATATAAATTTCGATAACAGTTAACTTTTTATATATATAGGTAAATTCTATTCATATATATGTTGTCCTCAAATTTTCATTAATGATTATAATCAGCCATCGCTAAGCATTCGTACATGAATAAAATACTAGGTATATTATGTAAAAACATTAAGTCATCCACATAATTTTTATACTTATAGAACTTCATGTTAAAATTTCTTTTTAATCGGTATTATTATAAAATAATCTTTGGCAAGGCTCGTTACGGACACGAGTGGCCCGCATGCAAGCTTGCATTAAGTTCTATAAGGCATTAATGCACTAACGCGCAGGGGCGCATGACCACGCCTGCTCATGTGAAAAAGTTATAATAGCGAGTTTCTCCACAACCCTCGTAGCATACTAAATATTTTTCCAGACTGTGAAATCCTACGCTGACTCACACTAATTAATTTTTATGTATAAAAGCTGGACTTTATGGGAATACGTGGTATCACGCCTTTGTTCCATGTCTTTGTATATTGTTTTGCAAGCCAACGACCCCAGGCTATATTAAAAATCACGAACAAACTTTTGTTACTACAACTGCTAAATGCTTAATTTCGCAGGGATAAATAGTAGGTAATATAGTAACAACATATTTTGGTACAAAAATATAATCTGCGTTTTTGCAATGTCGATTTTTTATGTTGTATTTTAGCTTATAAAGAAATAATTTATTTGTATTCTGTTATCAGAAAATGTTTGCATAATACCTGTAAGTAATTATCTACTGTTGCATTTAAATGAAAATTATATAGCGATTAGCATTTGGTAATCGAAATTATGTTTTGTCCTGCTCGCTCGCTGGTTCGAAGTTTCTCGTCATAAATGTTGTCATCGTAAAATTTTATGGTTTTTAAAACTTCTGTAGTAAAACAATGTTTTTATTACGATACTAATATTGCTTCGTAAAATAAAATTTTAGTTTCTCATGTAAGCATGTTATTGATTATTTATGTTCAACCTAAAAAAAATCGAGTAAGTATTTGCATTTAAATACATCTTTTAAATCGTAATTAAAAGTACCCTTATAAATTTTAAAATTTCCCTAGGCATTTTCGAGAAAAAGTTACAACCCCATTGCATTTAATGCGCTAAATATCGTTTAATTAATATATAATGAAATAGCCTGCAGGTAGAATACTAAACGATAACAGCCATTTTCAAAAACAGAATTTAATTTCGATAGGTAGGTACATGCATAATTGGGAAGAAGATTAATATTTAAAAGCAGCTAGGTTTGTATGTGTCATATTTAATATCGTCGTTATTAAATAAATAAAGTTAATTAATATTAGGCTTATTGCGTCGGTTTATATTCATCAAGACAATAAAGCTGAGAGGGGTGAATAACCCTTTCGTTTGAAATGAGGGTCAGATGCTTTTGCACTAATAAATACTTAACGGAAGTCTTACAAGTTTCTTAAAATAACTAGAACATTGAAATTTTACAATAAATTTTCTATTGTATTTCTTTTTATATAAAACAACGTTTTTTATATCATTTTATCTACACTTCTATATCTAATTGTATAATATAATATCTAATACACACTAATATTATAAAGAGGAAAGATTTGTATTTTTGTATGTAACGAATAAACTCAACAACTACTGGACCGATTTAGATGAAATTTGGTAAAAAGATAGTTTGAGAACCTGGGATTTTTTATTCCGGAAACCATCCCTTTAGGGGGTAAAATGGGGATGAAAGTTTGTATGGGGAATCATTTAAATTAAAAAAAACCGTAAATTTCCTCTATTTTGTTTTATTTTTATTCTCATTTAAGTAAAATTACAATAAATGACTAAAATTCGACTAATGATATAAATACAATTATTTAGGTTTATTCTTATTAGATAATAATAAAGGTTGAATTTATGCAAAATGCTGTGGTCTAATTGGTAATTTGAATGACTTTTTTAGCGTCATTTTATAAAAAAATTAAGTTACATTAAGTTATATTAATTTGAACACGTTTTTGCTTTATATATTTTGTGTCATTAAATAATAATAATAATAAATATGTTGAGACATTAACAAACAGCATCATCTAGTTTCCTCTTAAGCTACGAAGCTTGTGTTATGAATACCGGATAAATAATACACTACACATTAAGTATATAACTTTAAATAAATACATGCTATAAATATAAACACCCATGACTGAAGTACAAACATTCGCGCTCATCATACAAATGAATGCCTCCAGCGGGACTCAAACCCGCGACTACTGGCACAGCAAGTACTACTACAAACTGAGCCAAACGTGTCGCCAAATGGAATGGGAAATATTTCTCGAAAGGAGGGCGCCACACGTATGGCCTATTTACATTCAGTCTGAGGTTAAGCAATTTATTGTGATATCTCTTTCATACCTGGTATTTTGCTTCTATTGTGTTCGCATATTAACTATGCAAATTATTGTACCTACTTGGAACTTAGAACAGCTGAAGGAAGAATTGAGAAGGAGAGGACCTGCAAACTGCGGTAATTCTGACTGACTGACGCTGGTCGTAGAAACGTGAAATTTGGAGGACGTATTCCTTATCCAAATGATAAAAAATGGTTTTTCGAAATTCATCCATTAAGTGGGTAAAATAGGGGATAAAAGATTGTATTAAACTCTGTCATTCTTAATGTGAAATACACAAAGTGGTGTTTAGCTTTAAGACAAAAAATAAGAAATAATTATTTTTAAGATAAAAAATAAGTGTATTAGGTACAAACACGTTACACGTGTATTTATTTAATTCTATTGAAGAGCATTAATATCAAGTTTCAAGTTATTCCGATTATAAATAATTCTTTGCCCATATACACGCTATTACCCCTTTTACCCCTTTTACCCCTTTTAAGAGATGACTTTTGAAAACAAATTATATAAACATAATTATTTATTATTTTTTATCTTAAAAAATTAAATAAAATTAAAAAAATGCTAAACATTTTTCGAAATTCAATCCCATAAAGGGGTAAAATGAGGGATGTAAGTTTGTATGAAACTCTCTAATTAATATGTAAAAAGTACAAAAAAAAACACCTGAAGAGGATTTAAGAGTTTTAAAATCACTAGCTTTAAAATGGTGGCCACATAGCCTTAAATATAAAGATTGTGATTTCACCAATTTTGGTCGTCTTATTGTTTTAGCCGCACAATTTCTTCAGTTTTTGTGTTTTGGAAACTAATCATATCCATTTTCTTTGCATTTTGGCACTGCACAATTTGACATTTCAATTAAATTTTAAATAAAATTAATAAATTGCCATTCACACTATAGAGCTTTACAATATACTGAGGATATAGAGATCGTACATCTGGCGGGAGGAAAACGCAAAAATCTTTCATGATAAAAACAAAACTTTCAAAGATGTCCGGCTTAACAGCAGTTGTTTATGAACGAAGATCTGACATATTTTGAATTTTTGTTTTGTGAAATTGACATTGACAGACGTTAGAGATGACAATTGACAATACTCGTTCTATGTAGACTTGTTTGAGGTTGTTATTTGCTATCGCAAACTAATACCAGACTAATACATTTAGATTTGTTTCCTTTTACAATTATTGATTGTAATTCATTTTATAACTATTTACAATGCGTTTCGTAGTAAAACAAACAGGTGCGGGAAGTGAGCGTATTGGTACTCTATCGGGATTTATGAAATCACCCGGCATTGTTATTGAAACTCCTACAGCTGCACTTTTTACCCAGGTCTTAAAAATATATCTTTTTATATGGTCTTCAACTCTTCTAAAAGAATTTACTAGAATGTCGTGAGTCATTATGACAAACCAAAGATGACGAGAAAAACGTGACTTGTTTAATGGTATCAATGTAAGATCAAATAGCTTATTTATATATTTAAAACATAACTTGTATTCTACACAGGGAGGCAGTGTGGTCCATTTGACGGCAGATGTACTGTCATGGGTTTTTTCTTACCCAAAACCATTATGGATGCCCTTATCAAACTGTGTACAGTTGGAAAATGGTGTAAAGGCCCAAAATGGAGGGGTGGCAAAATTTGTGGGTTTACCTGGACATGTCACTTGTGCCACATTAAATAATTTATCTGAAGTTACACCACTAGGACATTTTGAGGCTGATAAAGTACCATTATGGACTAAGAATGGAAAGAAAATGATTACAGCTAATAGGTATTTGAAATTTGAAATTAAATATTCTAATTCACTTTCTGTTCCATTAAATTTTCTTTATCTTATAGGACTTAATTTTCTTTTTAACCTCATCATATATATAAAACTAGCGGCTTACCATCCCTTCACTTGGGTTTGCCTCTAAGAAAATATTCCATGGGAACTGTACATTTTTCTAGGATAAAAGTAGCCTATGTGTTTTTCCAGACTAATCTATATCTGTGCCAAATTTCATGCAGATCCATTAAGCCGTTCTGGAGTGAACGAGCAACAAACATCCATACTCACAAACTTTCACATTTATAATATTAATATACAGTTAAATGTATAATGATATCAATGGCAATAACCTTTCAGATATATGGATGTTATGGAAGTTTTCAAACCAGATATAATTTTGGCGATTGCAGATGGCCGAACATCACTCAATGAAGGTTCTAAGAGACTGTCCAAGGCTGTGAATAGAACTACCAATATGCTTAAAATATGTGTGGAAAGATTTAAAGCTGCTAAGCAGCTACAGGATAGTGCTTTTGTAGGTTTGTGTTACTAATATATACTTATATATATCAATGTAACCACAATATCTAGTTTTAAAGTAAGGAACAATTACAACTATATTATATCAAGACCAGTAAATGAAGAATTTCTATTGATGCTGGCAATGCTTCAGTTTGTTTTAAGTAAAAAATTGTTATGTAGAAAATGTAAAGTGGACTCATTTTCTGCACTAAGACTCCCTTTTGGTCCGTTGTGCATTGCGAATCCTGGCTATATTAGCCAGCTAAGCTCCGCCCAGAAGCGCAGAAGCTTCCTGGGAATATCACAGGTGTCGTGGAGTGACCTCTGCTGTACATATATATATATATACATATATATACATATATATATATATATATATATATATATATATATGTACAGCATCATGATAATATCGATAATTAAACAAAAAAATATGGTACAAAATTGGATAGATCATGTATTTTGTATTATCAATAGTTAATAGTAACAGACTTTTTTCAAGTATAGTATAAAATATATTGATAAAGGATATAAAATATCAGTAATAAAATTATCGTATATCAGTTCGTAAGAGCAAAAATTTGAAAAAATAAATATTTGTGAGCCTGTAACTTTGTTGTTATTGATGATATGAAAAAGTTGACAAATACTTTTTTATAGGATTTTAAACATACTGCAAATTTGCCATTTAACATTTTTCTGTAACTCTTACAGTTTAGCTAAAAAATGCAAAAAACCACAAATTTCAACTTTAAAGCTATAGAACAAATAAAATATTGAAGATAGAAATTCAACTCAATGGAACTTTTTGTAGTAAATTTAATAGTAAAAACGGTCCATTCATTCATTTTTTGGAAAAATATTTTTGTCATAGTTTGCAGGACAAAAAAGTGTTAAAAATCATATTTTCCATACAATTGTATGGAAAAACTTAAAGTTCGATGGAGAACCTTTTAGTATTGGAATTTTGAGCTCCGCTTTTAATAGGAGCTTTGTTGGGACATTGTCTAAGATATTTTGGGGTTAGAGTGAAGAAAAAAAAATATCGTCATTTTTTGGCATGCCCTAGTATATATATATATATATATATATATATATATATATATATATATATATTGTTATGTAGATTTAAGTAGTAAAAAATAAATACTGACTAATAAAAGAAAAAGCAAGACCAAATCATATAGATTTGATAAATAATTCAAAAATAGCTAACTACTAGCTGCATTGCTTCACTTTGCTCGGGCTTATCCCTGGGTTTATTTTAACAGTTAGTATGGAATAGATAACTATATATTATATTACTGCACCACTTCCTTGGGTAGCATGATGATATATAGCCTGTAGCCTTCCTCAATAAATAGGCTATCTAATGCAAAAAGAACTTTTCAAATCGGATTAATAGTTCCTGAGATTAGCATGTTCAAACAAACAAACTCTACCTCTATAATATTAGTAAAGATTAGTGCTAATTGTTTTCGCATTTAATTTCCAGGTGTAATTGTAGGTGCAGGAAATCCAAAGAAATGTGATATTTGTATAGAAAATATATTGAAACATTCAGATTGCTTGACTGGTATCGCTGTAGAAGGTATCACTGATGGAACAGAAGAATCCATGGACATAGAAAAAGTGAAGCTAAATGAAATCTTTGAGAAGATTGGTGTTAGTATAATTTTTTTAATTGATTAAAAAAATTAATTATATGTTTGCACAAATTAAGTTGAGGTTAAACAAAATTCATTAATGATAAGAAATTTAACAAGAGTAGTGTTAAACAGTAGACAATAACTAAGAGATGTTTTTTTGTACATACAATACATAGGATACTTTACGTAAAAAAATATATAGTTTAAATATGTATAGGCATGTCATGGGCCAAACTGGTTTATCCTAGGCCAAACCGGTTTGTCCAAAGTGTGTCAGGATGTACTAGTTTAGCCCAGGATAATCTAGTTTGGCGTAAATACTTGAGGCTTAACTAGTTTGACTTGTACCTAATTGAAATAATATAGCATTTATGATGCTGGAGGTCCTGAGCTTGAAATAAAAAAAAACTTCTGTGACTCAACCTACAGTATCCAAGTTGGCCCTGTCACATAATAATACCACCCACTCCTCAAGAGGCCGCATCCCATATACTAAATTAGGCTGAACAATACCTCAAAATCAGTTTGTCCTAGGCCAAAGTAGTTAAGCCAAGAATAGTGTTTAGTGTTTTGTCCAGGCTAAACTAGTATATCCTGACACACTTTGGATGAACCGGTTTGGCCTAGGACAAACTAGTTTGGCCTGATATCTATTTTGGCTGGTAACAATATATGTCAAAAACTTTAATAATTGTAACTTTTATCAAATCAATTTTTTTTTAATTTATTTATTTGTAGCCATAGAAGTACTACATAATTCTTTATATTATTTGTGAATAAAATTAATTTCCTTATCCATTTAAAATTGCAGAATAAAATTCCAAAAGATCTACTGCGTATAATAGAAGGAAGTTGGAATCCAGCAGTTATTTTATCGGCTATAGAATATGGATGGGATTTCTTTGATGGTTCATACCCAGTGAAGTTGACAAATGCTGGTGTAGCACTGAAACTTAGCTTAGACGTTACCAAAGAAAATGATACAATGTATTTGTTGGATATGATTGATGAAAGGTAATTATTAAATATCTACTAGCTTTTCTTTCGCTGATTCATTAACAAATAACTCACAGCCTAGATTGGTCTAGAAACATTAATTTTTTTACAAGAGTTCCTTATATACATACATACATACATCACGAAGAAACGTTTTTTTTTAATTTATGCCCTTAATGGATTTAATGTACTATGAAAGTATAGGATATAAGTTATATTTTATAGATAGAAGTTTGTATAGAATTTTTGTTTTATTTTTTTAATTAGACATGAAAATTGATGTTTATGATTCTCAGAATCGAAATTACATCGGGTTCATTATATTTATGGTATAACTACACAAGTACCTAATATTTTTATGTATGGATATAGTGAGCTCACTCTTATTATGTACTGTATTATTAATGGTTTTGTTTTGTCAGGGTTCAACACCTGAAGGGTGCTAATGGAACCCTATTACTAAACCTGTGCTGTTTGTCCGTCCGTCTTTTCATTTGTCAGAGTAGGTAGAGAGTTGAAATTTCCACAGATTGTTTATTTTTATTGCCACTATAACAATAAATAATATAAAATAAAGAAAAAGATGGCAAGTTTCAAAAAGCTGCCATGCAATTTAAAGAAATCGATTATGGAACGGAACCCTTCATGTGCGAGTACGACTCGCACTTAAATGATTTTTTGTATACAAAATTGTTTTAAAAATTAAAATAATTTTGGAGAAATGGAAAATTTGCTTACAACTATACTTATATAAATTACGATGGTCTTGTGTACATGTATTTTGTATTTCGACAAATATTTCAGGTATAAGGATGACTTCTCGCCCATTTTGGAAGGTTGTGAATGCTTGACTTGCAAAAAGCACACTCGGGCCTACATCCGTCATCTGTTGAACACTCGAGAAATGTTGGCTTCGGTGTTATTAAGCATGTAAGTTATGTTTTATATAAAGTAGTCATATATTTATTATAAAACAATAATTTCTATATATCTCTTTTGCTTCTTACATAGTTTTCATTCTCACCATGCTTATTAAGGCTCTATAAGTAATTGAACTAATCTTTAAATACAGTAAACAATAGGCCTAAGAAGTCCTTAAAGATCTTTTTCCAGCTATCTATATCTTTCGTTCATTCTAACAGATTTTTTTTTTACTTTACTTACCCACGTTTTGCTCGAAGCTTCCCTAAGTGTGATTTTCTTCATAATTTCATGGGTTTTAATTTTGTGCGCAGAACTCTGATTCTTTCTCTAAAATAAAAGTAAGTTATTCCTTATAACATCAACTATCTGCCAGTGAAAGGCTTGTCAAAATCGGTCCAGCCGTTTCGGAGGATAGCCGGAACAAACAAACATTTAAGTCAGAACAGACAAAAAATTTAAAAATGTTTTTTTTTTCTTATAAATACCGTATATACTTAATACTTTCATATGCATTTAGTAAAAAGCTGTTATTTTGACATTACAAACAGACACTGCAAGATTCACTTCGAGTTCGTCTTTAGATAAAAACAAATTATGCCACGGGAACCGTACATTTTTCCTGGATAAAAAGTAACTATGTGCTATTCCAGATTATAATCTATCTCTGTGCCAAATTTCATCCAAATCTGTTCAGCCGTTTTGGCGTGAAAGAGTAACAAACATCCCTCCATCTTTACAAACTTTGACATTTATAATACATATTAGTATGGATGCGAAAGATTGTCGAAAATCTTGATGGACTGGAATTAAACTAAGTACACAGATAGGCTATGACTTATACTAACACCTAGGGTCACTGTTAATAAAATTTGTTAAAAGGTGGCGCTGTAAGTATGTAAATACAAAATGAATCGTCAAACATTTTTTTTTCTATTCAGACACAATCTCCATCATTTCGACCAGATGTTCTTCCACGCGCGTCAACACATCGCCTGCAAAACGTTTGCAGTTTACAAACAACATATCATAAAACAGTGTGAAATGCTCAAAACCTTCGCTCCAGATCGATATAAGGGCTCAAATGAGACAGAAAAACCGACCAATCAAAAGAAAAAGGCCAAAGTGAGTGAGAGTATAAATAGTGATGTAAATAGTGTAGATAATAGTGTTGTAAATAATATATAGTTGTAGGAATAGAATAAGTATGAGTATACGTATTTTATTAGAGTACAAATATTTGTATATGTATCTGTTTAAAGTATCAAACTGCCATTTTTTAGATTTCGGTGAATATTTGACATTTTAAATTAATCTATCTTATCGGAATTTTTCACGGATTTATTTTCATTTTTACTTCAGAAGATAGTTTTATTTAAAATATCTAAGTCCCGATTAAAATATATATGTGTAATGTACAATTTGTTAAAAACTAATAGAAATTAAGTATATATGGAGATAGTGGTGTAATTGTATTCGCCTATTTAAAAAAAAGTGTGTGTGTGTGTGTGTGCAATTCACACATAGTAGAAGTGTAACTTCAGAAAAGTAACCTACGAGAGAATGAGATGAAAATAGAGTATCAGGATTAGGATAATTATAAGGTTTATTTTCTTTATAATATTTTTACCAAGTTTAAAAGTTATTTATATAACTTACAATCATATATTTATAGTATATCATATACGGAAAGAATATTATAATAGTATATATTTGTCAGACAATAACAACGGTTACTATGGCAACATGGCAATGTATTCTATCTCATTCTCTCGCCCGTTTAATCCTATATATTTATTTGTTTGTATCTTTTTAGTGTCGCATTTCCGTCTCATTTCCATTTCATTGAGTCACAACGATTCTAAAGAAGTTTCACTTCAAAAACAAATATATGCTATTTTTAAAACTTAGTCTGTCAAACGATATCTTTTTAAACGATTATATGACCGTGATAAATGATTTATTACTATGTTTGATGTGACTTGAGAATTAAATTTATAACTTATAACGATTCATTTGAGTGTGTGAACTTTCTGGAAAGTGTTTATGATTCCACAAAAAGACATCTTGATAGTAAAAACGTTTATATGTGATTAGAATATTATCAGATCTAAAAACTTTGGTTATCATATAAAGAAAATGTTATTTATGTTACTTTCAGACTAATAATTTATTTGCAAAACACTAAAAATATATTAAAATTATACATAAATATATTGATAAGTTTTACTAACAAAGAATAAAGTCCAAGTTGTGAAGACCACAAGACAATATGAGATGGTCGTTTCGGAGATATCGGAACATCTTAGTTTTTCATAGTAACTAAGTACATATTGGGCAATAGAAATTATCATATTATTTATTAGTCAAGGACTAAAATTGGTACTTTGTGAATATGCGTCCGACCTATTTCTTGCCATTACTCTGAAATACTATATGAAAAATGTATCATTTTATTTGATTTAAATATTTTGAATTAGGATTAATATTCCTTTATTTATAATAAATCAAAATTAACATTATTCAACAAAACTTTTACAAACACTTAAGTAGGCTACTTTATTTAAAGAGAGTCAGTATAGGAAACTAATATCTGCTCGGAATTCAATTCTTGTAAGAAGAACCTCATTAGTGTTTTGTTAATAATCTATTTATATTGCTTGAATGTTTAAAATCGAACTTACGTTAGCAATTAAATAAAATCGAGAAGTGTCGTCGGAAACCTTGTAGGAATGAAGTTTCTTACGCTTTTTGCCCTTGGTAATAAATTTGGTCATAGAAATTGTCACGACTACTAGAGTAGAGTTTTAGAAAAAAATTAAAATATTCTCATTTAGACTAGCCAACTGCGCAGGAGATATTATAGTGCACAAGTGTACGCGCAGACACAAGTGCACTCTCTATTCCTATCACTCTCATACTCCGGTGGGACGACCACTCGACACGACCGGTGAGAGTTAAGGCGCAGGACCGACGGCTTTACGTGCTCTCCGAAGCATGGGGGTGAAACACCGCCAACTTCCCAACTCCGGGCTGTTACTGAGGCTTACTTTACAGAAAGACTCAATAACTAAACTTGCCCCGACCAGGGACTCGAACTCAGGACCTCCGGGTGTGCAGCCGTACATGGTTCTCCGTAGATGGTCTAAATATTACACTTATAGGTATACGTCTATCTCTCATTCGTCAATTGTTATACGAGTATCATTCTAAATTTAAAAGAAATAGATACATACATATATAATTATTTTCAACATTACTAGTAATATAACTAGTACCCCTTTTATCTCCTCACCCATAGTATCCTATGTCCTTCCCAGGGTATCAAACTATCTTCTTACCAAAATTCATCTAAATCGGTTAAGTAGATCCAGAGATTACCTCCTACAAACTCACAAATTTTACCTCTTTACAATATTAGTATAGATTACTCTAGGTCTCAGATTAACGAATAATATAAACAGAGAGAATCAAATCAAAAGAGATACGAAAAAATGTATGTCAGTATTTTACTAGTATTTCCAATTTAGCTCGATTGTTGTCGTCTCTAAGTACTTTTTTATGATGGAATCATGTGAATGAGTTTTGTTTCAGGCACAAATATTATGCCGAAAAAAAACTATACTACATTTTTTTATGTTAAATTTTTAATTTTTATTTAATAACAAAAAGGAAAGAGAATATTTCATTGCAGATTTTTTTAATTTAATCAAAAAACAATAGTAAATAATAATACAATAAGCATAATATTATCCTTACCTCACATGTTTGGCTGAAGTGATTTATGAAAAAACGGCTTTTGAAAATATTTTTTCTATTTATATATAACTAGCGACTCACCCTCGCGTCGCTTCAGGTTCGTCCCTAGACAAAAACAAATTATCCTATGGGAACCTGACATTTTTCCGGGATGATATATATTCCTCAATAAACCAGTTATCTAAAGCAAAAAGAATTTTTCAAATCAGATTAATACTTCCTGAGATTAGCACGTTCAACCAAACAAATAAACTCTGCCTCTTTATAATATTAGTATAGATGATAACGGAGTTCGTTTACATTTGAAATAAGTCCATATTAAAAAAATATATAAACACAAATAGTTTACATGTTATTCTGTAACACTGACCTTAAGTTCCTGTTTTTATAACAGTGTAGATAAAGCGCTGTTATATGTACAAGGTGATCTATAAATATAAATTATGTCAATATGTTTAGCTTTTACCCGCGGCTTTACTCGTCTTTTACGAAAGTTTAAAAAAAGCTATGTCACTTTCCCGAAAGTCCTGGTAACATCGGTTGAATCCCATTTCGGAAAAAGACCGACAAACAGACATATGTCTAACAAATTTAATATATATAAATATATATATATATATATATATATATATATATATATTTAGGCTCAATATAGGCTAGGTAATGTAATGATAAATCTACACTTCAACTATATATTTAATTAATTAATAATTAATTTTAAGCAGGAAGGAAATTTTCATTAAATAAGTAATTAAAATTAATTAACCTTTGGGTTTTAAAACAAATCATTACGATTCTTTGATAAAATGTTTTTGTTTTAGTGTGATTTTTGTACAACTTATTGTTTTCAGTTACTATATAATGTATGTAGGTATCTATAGTAAGCAGTTTACATTCCGCGTGACTTAATTTTAGTACTACATTTAATTTTAAGATATCACACACCACTAAAAGCAAGCGCGGATCCACCGTTATGGGCACGGTGGCCACAACCCTAATTCAGTTCGAAAGAATGATGTTACATCAAGTGCCTTAGTTACATAAAAAAAAAAGCTTTTTAAAACAAATACACTGGCGACTCTCCCGGTCAGCGTAGATGCCGCGGAGAGATTGTTTTCTATTCTACCTTCTATGTAGAGTAAAGTACCTTTTAGAAATGTATGTAATATGCTTATTGATCATGATTAAGTTCTCCGATACAATTTAGCCAATTTTCCTTGGCCTTTTTTGAGGACTGGATCCGCGCTTGACTAAAACACCTAATATGTCATTAGTTTTAGATTTTTATAATTTATACACGTAATAGCAAGTAGTTACATGTTATTTTTTTTTTTGTTTTAAAGTAAATTGTATAAAAATCCTCATTTATCGCTTAAAGAGATAATCAATAAAGGTACCTATGGCATGTATCTTTAGTTTTTTGTCACTAATTTACCCATTTTTATATTTATACCTACCTACAGTGTTCATTTCTGATTTTAAAAATAAATTACACATGGTACCTATTAATGAATAATCCTTATGAATTTTAAACACCATATGTAGTAGATTCTATGGAAAAACAAACACTTTTGTTAGACATGTGGATGAATCATACTTATATGATAATGGAATTTTTTGGCTCTGGTTTTGTAGTTCTGCGCTAAAGCAATTATAGTTTCGGTGTTAGTTACTTTAGCAAAATATCGTGAATAATAAATATGTTGAGATTAACACACAGCACCTTCTACTTCCGTGGTAAGATACGAGGCTTGTGTTATTGATATCGGATAGTTGATACACTACACATATATAACTTTAAATACATATGTACATATTATAAATATAAATACCCATGACTGGAGTACAAAAATTCGTGCTCATCACACTAATTAACGCCCCCAGCGGGACTCGAACCCGCGACCGCTGGCACACAAGTTGGGTCAATACAAACTGAGCTAAGGTGTCGTCTTATCTTTACCCACCATTTTAAATTAATCGTTCTTATCTTTTAATAATAAATTTTACTTGTCATCTCGTAATCATTAATCATTTTTATCTTGATGTTTGTCATTTTTTCATTAATAATTTCCGATGTCATGGCGTAGCGGCTTGTTTGTCTGATAAAGCTAAAGCAGTCGCGTGTAGTTTTCCCTAAATACACATGCATACTTACGTTTCCGACTACCTGATTGACGATTACAGAAATTTGTAATTCAGATTTATTAGTAGAAGATATTATAGTATACTCCGCTGCTTTCACTGTACATTCTGTTGCTTTACTCACGTACGAGACATATAGCGGCAATCAAACTACCTCCTTTCCAATGGAAATGCTTCATAAAGAAGTAAGGGGACTGTTTTAGGAATTTATTAACCAATAAATCCAGTGCCTATTTTAAGCCCGTTCCGAGACTCGAACCCGAGAATTTATGATATATCGAAATGAATAATTATATGTATTATTTATTTTTATCTAATATCTCGTGTCTCGGTGTTCGTGGTCGCACTCCTCCGGAACGGCTCAACCGATTTTAATGTTTTTTTTGTATATGTGGCAGGTATGAGAATAGGTCGTAAAGTACTTTATACCCTCCCACCTCCCACCCCCCATGTTTTAATCATGATTTTAATATTCTTGTATCAACAATATTATATAGATATATGTGTATTTATATAAGCGACGAACCCGAACGAAGCGAGGGTAAGTCGCTGTATAACATAAAGGGTTTTTCTGTAGATTGAACGCAGGCGTAGCCGCGGCTTCTGGTAGTATTGTATAAATATAAACATAGAAGCACTATACCAATTTACTAGCGTTTATCATGATTTAAGGAGCACAATTAAATGCAAATATATTATGTACTAAGTGATAAGATTTACCAAATTTTCATGTGGAAAGTTTTTCATATCAAACATTTCGGTAATGTCATTTTTAAAGCATTTTTTTTTTGTCTTTCAACAACCGCGAACACGCCGGCGTTACAGTTAACAATAGATTTCTTCGAAATTTAATTATTTTCTTGGAAATTTACCTGGAGTTGATGATTTAAAGTTGTAATAAATTAAACATCCACCTATATTTTACCATCTACTTAAAATTTTTGTGATTATTTAATATTTTAAAAAATTGGTGTATTTAAATTACTAATAATAATCTAAATAGTATTTTAAATAAAATCTAAGAAAGTATTATCTAAATACTAGATTAAAAATTCAATATTTTTTTTATATTTCCTTTGTGGGACACGTTTACTAATTTCAATTTTTATAAATACATTTAGAATGTTTACTAAGGACACAAAATGTTGAAATTTTCCTAATAAAAGTAAAAACTTAAGTATTTAATGAAAGTAAAACCAAAAGTATTGCAGAACGTTTTAGGGAATTATATAGAATGTAGACAAAAAAATCAAATTAACACATTTTACATAATATTTTATTGACGATATTTACACAATATTTTTTAGTGACGACACTTATTGAGCTAGGCGTATCATATGAAATGTGCATCAAGTTATGTAATCGTATTACAGTAAGTTATTACAAACTAACATATTCAAAGGACTTGGCAGGATTTTGCTTGAAATTCATATTCCAATGGCCCAACTTGATACCGGTTTGACACAACCTTCGCATAAAATATATAAAGTAATATTAAAACTGCATTATTGTGTAACAATATAAATATAAATAAACTATTAAATTTTAATTTACAATGATTCATTAAAATGAGTATAGTTTAGTACATCCGTTTGGCTATTTAATTCACTATTAATTGGCACATAACATTAATTTAAGTATAGCTTTATACCAGCCAATGCAACATATATTAGATTTCATAAAACATTTTATAATTCCAATAAATTAATATCTCTATCACCTAGATAAAAAGGATAAAAATCATTTGATTATTCACTCCCTCTGTTGTTACATTATGTATATTCATATACATTTAGACATGTAAAATTTCTAAATAAGTACATCTCAATAAAATATGAGCTTCGATTAAATGAGGTGTAAATATTCCAAAAGCATTTACACACCTAACTAATAGTAACCATTCAATGCAACATATATAGGACTTGATCGTTATAACCAATAAGTATACCACACTATGGGATTATATAACAAATAAGTATTGCCTCTAACAAAATTAAAGCTTGAGCTTTGATTGACAAAAAAGCTAAATAAAGCTTATAACAATAATTGAATTAGATAATAAATTTAAAATGACACGACCATCACACAAATGAATAACCATTGGTTATAAACAAAATACAAATTATGTGATACAAAAACCAAATTTCAGATACAAATGGGTGACAATAACCGATAGGCGATACGATTTTGAGATCCATATCATATAAGCATAGAACTTTGTTCCGATGCACAACACTGCACTAAGCTAAAAGTTTTGAAAGCCCCATTCACTGGTTCACTAGAGTATCACATGTCCTTCTTTTTCTTTTCACATTTAAAGACATACTATCGTATTTACTTCCAGCTCTAGCACTATACATAGTCATTTGTGCCGGGGGTGTTGAGGGGTTCTTGGGCCTGCAATAAAAGAAAAAATAATTAATACACATTCAAATTATTACTAATTTATACTAATATTATAAAGAGGAAAGATTTTTAGGTTTGTTTGTACCGAATAGGCTCCAAAACTACTGAACCGATTTAGATTAAATTTAAAGAAGATAGTTTGAGACCCTGAAATAGGATAGTATTTATCCCGGAAATCATCCTTTAATGGGGTGAAAATGGGGATGAAAGTTTGTATGGGAAAGGGACGAACCCGAGCGAAGCGAGGGTGAGTCGCTAGTTACTAATAAAGAGTCATTTCCTCATTTTAAGTACCTAAAACAGTATTTTTTGATTTTGTACATAATATATAAGATAAAAGTATTAAATCGGCAAAATTGGAGTTAATAGATAGTAGATTGTAAGATATATTTCGTAAAGATATAGAGATAACTATATCTTACAGCTTAGTTATCAGAAAAGTATTTATAAGATTAGGACACAGTTGGTTCAATATTTAACTTATTTTCGTTTAAATTATTTGTAACATCAAATTAAATGTACTAAGATTTAAATTTAATATTTAGTTATTTTCCCTGTGTGACAAAATAGGTAATTTCCAGTTATTGTAAACGTTCTAAGGCAAAATTCAAAGAACATGATAAAAAATATATGTATGCCATATCGTTTTATGTTATCTCTTAGCCTTTTCTCTGATAATAATCAATCTGTACATTTCTAAAAAATCACACATTTCCACTATTCATATAAACTTACCGAATTTTAGAAGCCCTCGAATGAAAACGCATGAAAAACAAATATCTCAGCAGTAAATTATTACACATCGCCTACAAATGCAAAGGACTAAAAAATTATCTATCAGCCTATATACAATAACATCTATAAAATACCAGATTTGGCAACTATTCATTAATACTGATGCGGTAAAAACGTTGGCACTTGACGCCACGGTCTCTTAACTAACGAAAATATCCCCTATAAATCACTTAATATACGTCCCTAATAATATACTAAATACATCAAATTTAAAATGTCTTAGGCAGACCTTATACTATTCTAGAATATTCTCTTAATATTTACATCTTGGCCGTAGATAGGGGTTGTATAGTTTGTATGTAAAAAGTATTAGTGATATATTGAAAATATTTTTTCGAGGGTAGAATAAAACTAAACAGTTGACTCAATACCATAGAGATTATATACATAGAGCGGGCAAGAATAAAAAGTACAATATAGGGAATATAGATAAATTGTTTTTTTATTATTATTAACTTATAAAAAATAAATGAAGTGATGCATTTTATCACCAATTTTTTTTTTAAAATTAGTAAGTGTTAATTTATATTATAAGTAGATGGTAGTGTTTCGACGCTAATGAATGTCCTAAGCGAAAGTAGACCGAAATGGTAAATATATTCATATATTTCTATTGCGAAAGTAAGAGCTATTCTAATTTTTTAATGTTTCGCAACGACCGTCAAAGTCGATAGCAACAGTAATTCCACGTAAAGTATTTATAAACAAGGACAAAGCTCTCCAAAATTTACTTTCTCAATGGGACTTGCCGACTCTGCGTATATTATATCTATGTTAAATTATTTTAATTCTGTCGGTTATTTAACTTATCTAAGACTATTTTGTATGTTAAGTGTACATTCCATAGCGGTTAGTGCTCTCACCTCCTCTCCAACGGTGCTGGGGTACAATTTGCTGCCTGGTGCGTAGCCATTTTGTTCTAGAGCGAATTGGTTTTCAGTAGTTTTGCGGTATACAGGATTGTCAAAGTTCATAGATGTGACGTTACGATGCACGTAATGCCGGTACATTACCACCGCGATCTGTAATAATTAGAAATTTCTAATAAGTATTTTGAGGCAAACTTTATAAATTACTCTTATTAATTAATATCTTTTTCAGTTAAAAGTTACACCGACTTGAAAATCATAAAAGTTCCAAACCAACCAAATTTCCCAAGCCGAGGGATTGAATTTCTCTTTGAAATTTAAAGTTGAGATATAATATTTATTAAATTTACATTTTAAACAGATCTATAAATCGGGTCACAATAAGCAAAGATATCTCGAAAGATAAAAAATATCCTTAACAATTTAAAAACCGCCATCTTTTTTTTAGTCTGTTCAAAAAAAAAGTGTATTTATATGTAAATTTTATTATCTTCAATTGGCCCCATGTAAGCGAGGAACAATTAGCTATTATCCAATTATTTTTTTTTAATTAAATTATATGTTTAATTAAATTATATGTTTGGTATTAATTACAGTAAATGGGGTTAAATTAACATGCTTGAAAGATTATTTTTCTTATTATCTATAGCCGTTTGGTGAATGGAATTAAGGATGTCAGTTTATCAGCTATACCACGGTTCACAAGTAGGTAATTACCTGCCAACAATTAATTAATTTACTGAACGAAGTTTCCTAACCTTTATAGGCGTTATCGTTTTGATGGATGAGAATCATATATATTTAAAAAAAGAAAACTAAGATATCTACAGTATATTCTATTATTTTCAAAGTAACACGAAAATTTTTGTCATCAATTTACCAACATTCTAAAAAAAAATTCTCAATTTACCTACATTATTATTTTCGTGCAGATAATATAAAAGAAAATTTTCCATCTAATAAGATGGAAAATTTTCTTCCAAAGTTCGAGAAATTTCTAATTTCAATCAACGTTTCTCAAGAGTTTCCATCTTTATTGCTAGGTCCCTATTATCTCACGTTATTAACGCTTGAAGGGTCGCGGATACGCCGGCATGTCAGTTAACAATTGATTTCCCGGAAACTAACGACGGAGGCGTATTTGCGTATTATTATTTTATCTGTAAACATGTTTATAAGACTGTTAGACTAAAAAAATTCTCGCTCTAAATTGTATGTTGAAGACAATATAATATGAATATGCGTGGAAACTTTAAGTATAGTCAAAATAAATACCGCGGTTACAATAGTTATGTAATTTAACTGCTCGTATGTTTATGACCTAATAAAAAACAGCCACTAATTTAAACGTATTGAGTTTGGTATAGAGAGTGAACATCGACATTATTTTTTTAGATAGGTTATTTTATGGCTATAAAAACTTAAAAAAAATACCAAGATTTTCTAAGTAAAACCCTTTAAACTTCAGATTAAATCAAGTTTTCGTAAGGAAAGCTTTGGAAAAGCTTTAAAAGTCCGTTGAAGAGATAGGGAGACTGAATGAATATAGAAAAATGATTAAATAATGAAAAAGTCTACACAATATTGATGATTTATGAAGTTAAGCTATTATTAATGATACGACTTGGATAAAAAAAAACTATGAGCAAAAACGTTTCTTAATTTTCTGATTTTATTTATCTCTCCACGACCGCGAACACGCCGGCGTGTCAGTTAACAATACATAGATTAGAAATTTAATTTCTTAGAAATTTACCTGGAGGTGTTAAGGCGTAATACTGACATTTTAAGGGTAATTTAACTATACTTTAACATGATAAATAATAAAATATAATAAAAACTTATTACGCCTTATCATTCGAGTGTTTTAATGTTTTTTTTTTGTTTTTTTTTTTGCTTTTGGAACATCCACGAATTACACACCGCAAAAGATGTATTTGTAATAACATTCCTTTCACTACGTATAGACAAAGCAGGTGGTAGTTACAAAAAAATATACGCATGAATAAAACAATGACCTCGTTCATAGTAAACGTAGACGAGACGAAAGTAACAGTCTGGCATAAGTATACTATGCTTAAACAAGTTCGCAAGGACGTCGTACAGAATGTAAGCGTACATTTAAGATATACGAGACATGAATATTTTTAATCGTAACCTTTAAGGTCATTAACGTCATGAATCAGCTGTTTTATTGATTCCAGAGGCACTTGATGACTGTCAATTGATGTTAGTTGAATCAAACTTTTGTTTTTATAGAATCGACCAATTTTTGGCAAACAAATTAACACTCTTAAAAACTATTTAAGCTATTTTGGAGACTATTTCTATTGTCAAGGACATCCGTTTAGATTTGATTAATTGTTTTCGTTATTTACGCGATTTAAGTTAGATTTTATCCGCAATATATGCTTGAATTAATTTAATAATAAACATTTCATATATACATAAAAACATATAATTTAAAATAAACATATAATTTATAGAACTCACCAAAGCAGCCAGTATAATGAGTCCGGAGAATACTGCAACCACGATACCCGCGACAACACTAGCATCGCGTCCTGTAGACGGAATTCCAGCACCGGCTTTAGGAGATTCAGGGACGCCTGGAAACAAAACCACATAAATATACACATATATCCAAACAATTTCTCCGATCTCACGCCGGACTTTTTATAAGAGATCAAAAACGTTATTCACAATGAACCGTCACCATAGCAAGCGATAGGCGAGTGAAGACAAGCCATGTCATGTCGATAGTAACACTCGTTAGTTTTTATACACATACATTTGATATATGTTATAATTTATTATTAACACTTAAAATTTAGCACACTCTTAATATGTTACATATATTTATGTTTTAAATATCATTATTTTGAACTGATTAAAAAATTCTATTCAGGTATTCTTCATATCATACGCCAAATTCGAGAATATGAAATCGTAATGAGGATATCGATAGACACTGACCACCACATTCTATTTATAGTTAGTGTCAATGAAACGTGCCAACTCTGACTCGGTGCTTAACTAAAATATCTTAACCTAATTGAATGTAAGGTATTTTTAAAAAGATGCACACTAAAAAGATTTATCGTTAGTCAGGAAGTACGTTTTTAAATATACATATAAATAGTTGCAGCGGTAAAAAATTTATCAATGATAATTAACACACGCGTCCTTTGAGATTGTTATCCCATTGTGGATTTAACAAGTGACATACAATTATGTTAATTTATTTCATAACAAATGAATGAAAGATCTCTGTCATGACATAATAAAAATATAGTTAGTTACAAAACAGTCATACAGCTTTAAGAGTTGATTAAGTAATAACATGTTTGTTGTAAGCTTAAGCATCAAGAGAATTTCCCAAACATTAAAGCAGTGCCTTTGACCGTTAGAATCTGTGTGTCTTCCTACAGCTTTTTTTTAATGATAATGAAAAAAGTGTCAACAATACGTTACCCTTTATATCAATGTTTTTGAGACCCTCAGGCAATTTAATGAGTGTCAAAGGATCAAATTTATAATGAGATTCTTGCACTGGTTTATCAGTCGTATCTGGTATCCTTTCCAAAGCGACACCTTTAAGGAATAAGTCTATAAACGGTTGGTTTTTCTTGTTTAGCTGTTCTTTATCACTCTCCCAGTACGCCTTCATTGGCTCAGCTTCTGTTTCGACCGCAGGAGTAGTTACTTCTTCAGGCTCCTCCGGTGTTTCCTCCTCACTCTGTGCCAGAGCACGTCCCAACTTCAAGAGAAGGCCTAGCCCTTCTCTTTTAAAATTAACCATATGTGTTGGTAACTTTTTTCTCAATTATTTACTTGGAAAACAATTCATCACTTTGGAAACAAGGAGTTTGGCATGCCCTGTGAATCAGTCAATGAATCCCATGTTGAAGACACACAGATATTGAAACGTTCACAATGAATGGTTATATTAGTAGAGAGCGATGAATGTTACTGTTGCTTAATTCACTGGTCACCCAATTATATATTATATCTAATTATTTATCTTATCTGATGCAATGAAAATGATTCAACCCATTTAGTTAAGCATTTATAGGTTCAAATTTGAAGCAAGAGGCCAAAATACTATATTAAGAATTCGCTTTCAATAATATTTATGAATTACTTCGATATTAATTCACATTTCGTAACCAATTAACCTCGAATGCCACAAATTCGCCCCGAAGCCCAATAAATGCAGGGTAGTTAGGGAGAGGAGTTCAAGAAAACTGGAAAAGGTTGGTAAAATACTCACTGGGCAAAGGCTTTTCCTCAATTACTATAGATTTCTTTGAACCATTAGCAGATTTAAGCACCTCCGGATCAGGATTTATTGTATCTGTAGATTTTATTATAAAACAACCTTATAATATGTCCTTGGTTAAACTTTGGAATGTTTTTCTTTTGAAATAACTCAACACTCGTTCGTATAAATCACAATGCCGGTTTATAAATGTAATACGTGTTTAACCGGCCACGAAACGAAGTGAAATGACAAGCTAAAACTCCACGCCGACCGCGCGCCATTCAAGTGACGTCCCCTGATTCCCCCGACTATTGCCAGTCAGTTATATTAACCGTGCGCGATTCGGCTCGCGTTCACCATATTTTCTATTAAACTTTTGGTATCGACAAAAAAATACATATATAAAAAGTAACAAAACCGTCTTTTATATTTAAGTAATATGTAAAATTCGATAGAAACTTTTATTAAGGGGTTTGATAGTTTAAAAAAAATCTATTACCTACCTACATAACAGCAATATAAATGTCTCGTTAGTTACGGTTAAATAAAAAGTATGTACCTAATGTAAGACTAGGTTTAATTTTTTTGTTATCATATCAGATAATTTTTCTAATTTTATCAGTCGAGGTCGAGCCCACCGCCGCAACGCGCAGCGAGCCGGATCGCACGCCGATTGACTAACAAAAAGTGGCGTGATGTGTGACGTCACATCACCTTTTTCACTAAATTGAGCCTTATTGGAGAACTGTAAGCTGTAAAGCAATATTGTACCGAGAAGGTTTATTTAGTTTTATTTTTTGTAAATAAATTCGCATTACAACTGACAAATAAATTATTGCCTACCAATCTTAAATATAAAATTTCGATACGAGCTTAAAATATTTACAGTAAGTATATCTAGATAGATTGCTTGAAGCTACTTCTAAATGATTAATTTTTACATAACAATTTTTTTTAAATGAGTTAGGTACTAATAAATAAGAAACTTACCTATTAACATATTTTTAATATGTTTTTAATTAAAATACGGTCATAATTTTTTAATTACAAATTATGAACCGTGTTATTATTTATATTTTACAGATAATAAATTATGTTTACTACGAAGATAAAGTTTGCGATAGAGTATTCCAAAGATAGCGATTAAAAACAAATGACTCGTACGCGGCCCTGAGTACTATTTTGGGAACGGGCATATTCCTATCATAACAAGAAATTTTGGTGAACAGCAACGTATTATTATAAACATTGACAAAAAAATATCATACGATGTCACGTCACTGGGTGACGTGGTATTACGTGGCATTAAAACTGTTTACGTTTCTTCCGTTCGCTAAATTAACCGGTAAAATAATATGTGAGACTGTCTGCACAAGTGGTCTAACCTTCAGACAATTAATATATAAAATGCATTATATGTATATGTTTACATAGTTTTTAAATACGTAAAGAAAACATAATTATGACGATATATATAAACTTAGCAATAATACCATTTTTATTTTAAAACTAGTAAGTAATCCGCGCATTTAATCTTAAAATTCCGATACTACCCGCACCACCTGTTGCGATCATTAGCAATTGACTGGCGCAGTCATGAAATTTTGCTTTAATTACATTTAACCAATAGAATACATTAATATTAACGAATGCAATATATATTTATATAGACGAGAGTTTCCCCATCACACATTAAGCGCTTTCCTAGGTTTTTCCATCGGACTCATGATGAATTGGAAAATGGGTACATCATACTCTTCTGTTCATATTTCTATGTAAAAGAAACCTTATCGATTTGTTACTCCTAGCGAAATAAGGTCCAGATCAAAAGTCAATAAACAAATAAACACACTTAATATTACTTACTATGAATTAAAACATTTTAAATAATTTTACATGTGGATTAGATAGACCCTTTTTTGCTGACGATCTGATATGAATCTGAGATGTGATTCTTTCAAGAATTTATGATTGACATTTTTTTAATATTGGTAATTTGATACAGCACGTTCTTGCATATAAATACATATATATTTCATTACAGTATCGTATCAACAGATTTTGTAAGTCATTCGATTACTGTCTCGTTGGTACCCGTAGGTCCTACAATAGGTTTTACTGGCGACTCACCCTCGCTCCACTCGGGTTCGTCCCTACTTATGTTTCAACGTTCAGTATAGATTTCTCAGAGATAAGATATTTTCCCGCAGTAAAAAGTGTCCTTTATGTTGACCCAGATAACTAGCTATCGTGATACCAAATTTTATCAAAATCCCTCCATTGGTTTTTTCGTGATGCGGTCACAGACAGACAGACAGACAAAAATTCTAAAAACTATAGATTCGGCCTCTGTATCTATAATAAATAATAATGAGTTACAATGAGATTTTCCGAAAAATATTTAATTTACAGATTCAACTTAGTTAGAATTTTAGTATATGTATAGATATAACATTTTATGAGTATGTGCATACATGCTAGATAAACGTCTAGTAAGTTAATTGTAGAAAATGAGTAGTATACACACATATTGCATTATATAAAAAAAAAAACTTTTTAAAACCTTCTCATAAATTAAGCCCTTATCTTTTTTGTATAAAAATTACTATGGTGAGATTGCATCAGCTTATATATAAATATATAAATTCATTTTTTTTAATTATGAGTGATATCTCCACCAATTTTTTTTTTATTTAAAAGTTAAGTGAAACGAGATTTTTTTGGAGATGGTGTTTCTAATTTATTCAAAAGTGATTGTAAAACTTTTATTTGAATAAATTATATTTTGATATTTTAATAAATTTTAACTTATGAAAAATAACTGTACTTGAGAAACAAACTATAAAACATGAAAAACGTTTCAGACCTTATTTATTTTAAAAAAAAAAGACAGATAAAGTAGGTACTGGGTACTAGAAAATTATATTTGCGTCATTGTGTATAATAAATGTAATAATAATAGAATAACAACAATTAAAGAGTCCATTAATACTTACATTTATTGTTAAATAAATGAAGTAAACAAAAGAAGATCATTATCATTGTCACTTGCTCAGTAAATACCTTTTTTCTTAATGATGAATAACAATATAAACGGTTATAAAACGTGACAAACATTGAACTATAGATACGATAGTTATTAAAATACATTACTATGAAGATATATTGATGATATGCAGATATATTTTCTCCTAACATCAGTTTTAGCCGTTTCCAGTCACTCAAAATGAATGTAATCCATACTTAATATTATAAATGTGAACGTGTGTTTGTTTGTCCTTCTTTCACGTCGAAACGGAGTGACGGATTGGCGTGATTTTTTGTGTGGAGACAGTTGGAGGGTTGGAGAGTGACATAGGCTACATTTTACCGCGGGAGATTATCTAATTCTGTTACGTTATAATACAATTCAAAAAAATATGTATGATCAGAAATACTTAAAACTTGGTACTAATGCTCTTCAAATAAAATAAATAAATACGCGTTTTAGCATTTTTCGAAATTCATTCTATAACCGCGGGTAAAAGCTAGTTGTAAATATAAATCAGTACTATACAAGAGCCTACACTATTTCTCTTTATAGAACGTTCGCGAAGCCTTATTTATCGTTATAATTAATAGATGCCAGCGATCTATCTGTGGACACTCCATATTAATTGAAAGATGCTTTGGACATATTATTCATATATTCGCCGATACGTAATTGGACCTCATGTTTAAAAATGAGTCGATATCAGTATGACACAGTATTGAGTCACTCTAAACAGATCAGCAGTTTATGTAAAAAATGCTATGACGTTACCTCCAAATATGAATAGATGTGCAATCGCTTTGAACTCGTTTAGACTGTTAACTGTTCGCATTCCTACACTAGGAGTAGGTACGTAAGAATTGTTCCATACTTCAATCAATCATGGATTCCAATGACAATTAATGACTTTTTTATTGACCCCGCTCAATTGACCGATCTGATGATAAGTACATATTTCATATATGTACGTTTTAATTTTGTTTATAAGTTAATAATGTTTGTTTTGAAGTTAAATTGATTTTTATTACCAGTTGGTCAACCTTGAAGAAGCAATTTGTCTAATTCTAATAGCTGCATATTGCCCTGTATAACTAGGTTGTGGGTTCGAGTTTCCTACATGGTATATGTTATTAATAAAAATGGTCGCCTCAGTATGGTTAAAAACGCATCATAAAATACCGCGGTTTAGCGTTAATCGATTAATCAATACTGGCGGAAAGTGAAATACAAAGTACAAGAAATAGATTTTCTTATGCAAATGGACTTATAATAACAGGTAACTTGTAAATAAATAATAAATATAGATAAATATGAAATGCAAAATATATTTTATCTGACTCCCGCAGATCCTTCGAGTAATTTCGAAGTGTAATATTAGTTTTTTTATTACTTTGGCACGTTCTGTAGAACCTAGCCTAGAATGCTTGATGAATTTTAACGTATCAGCTGTTGGATGTCTCAGTGGGATTGAAAGTTTTCTACGTCGTCCGTGGGAGTGACATATCACATAGAGAATATATAACTATATAATATACTATACATACATACATTATGTACAGTCTACGAATACACATAAAATTAAATGTACGAAATAAAGCTAATTAAATAGCTAACTTTAAAAATGTATATATTATAACAGTTATGCAACTGATTATACAAAGTACCTACCTACATTAACTATGTGGAATGTAATTATAATTATTTAATACGCAATCGGTTTATTTTTCACCAGACTACTTTAAGAATAATTTAAACTTTTTTAGAGAGTGTGTATTTTTGGCACTCTCTGTATGACTGGATGGGTTTTATCATATGAAATATTGTGTCGGGTAAATCTAAAATAATCTTTAGAATTTAACATGCCTATATTACATGTAAGCCTATTTCTTTTTAGTATTTAATGTTAAAATATTATGTATTCAGATGAAAAACCATCCATCCTGAAAATCTATTCAGACGAAATATGTGTGAAAAAAACGAAGTCTTACTCAAACACGCCAAACTGAAACTTATTTCAATATGACGCTCTAATATAAAGAGCGTTTGTTAGAGATGTTGATATAATGTAAGTACCCTTTGTTAAGTATGTATATTCATCATATGTCATACAAGAAGTAAATGAAACAAAATGCATTAATATAACTTTTTAAATGCTAGAAAAATATAAACTAGCCTTAGATTCAAAACACGTAACATATGTTACAAAGTAACCTCGTTCGTTCTTAAACTATAGAAAATAATAACGTTTTGACACCGATTTTTTAACGTGACACATCTTTAAAATAACACCGAAACATATGTACGAGTCAGAAAAATGGACCGTAACGAAATAGGTCGCATTAGGTTGCCATAGTAATCTTTGAGTTGACTAAGTCGTGGTGGGGGAGCTCATTACTGTTAGGCGATGCAGCTGGGTGCGAAGCCAAAACTTTTCTGATAGCAGAGTGGACCATTGGAGCAACCCAATGGTTGTTGTGATCTGTTTCGACAGACCTGCCATCGGGGTGTCGTGGTTGAGTGCGTAAGTGATCCTGCGATGCCCCATTGAGACGGGGGAGGTTCTGTTGGGGTTTAGTGGCTAATACTGGCTTTTCTAGCCGGTGAGCCAATCAAATGTGTAAATGTATTTCTCAAAATAAAAAAAAGTAAGGTGTTATTGCCTGAAAAATATTTTTTTTACCTTACTTTTTTACACCTTACTTTTTTTTTATTTTGAGAAATACTTACTATTTTTACTCATTTGTTTTCAAATGTGCAAAATAATTATAAAAACAAAAACACTAAAAGCGACTCGCTGAAATAGACGTTTCACGGCACACCACCACAAATCAACGGCGGTGTGCCCCAACACAGCCCCACTTTTTGTCTGTACCCTTCATATCATCACGATATTTCATATAATCATTAAATTAAATATAATCATTTAATTGATCCACCACAAGCGAAAATATCGCAAAACATACACACACAAAACTGCTTATCTGAACTTCCTTTTTGGAAGTCGGTTAACATCTACGTTTTGCTTCTATTATTTTCAATACCAAAATAAGCAAATAGTAAATACTCACTATCTTCGACGCACATCTGGTTGTCTGGCAGCAGTCGTAGACCGTTGGGGCAGGCGCAGGACACTCGAGGGGAGTTGGGGCCCATCCTGGGCGCTGGCAGGCACAGGTGAGAACAGTGCCCGTTGACTGCCGCACAGTGGTTCACTCCATCGGGTTGACGATACGGGTGGTATACGTGGATGACCATGGGATTTTGTAGCTGTATAGAAATTTATTATCTTTTTATATAACTCTTATAATATACACTTTGAAAGATTAAATATATATCTACGGTATATAAATTTAAGTAAAAATAAATTATTTTGATGTTAAATCAAATCACGTTAGAATCACGTTGATAATGTATTTTAAAGTGTACAAGCATGCAAGAGAACCAGTTCTAATGCAGAGGGATACCAAATAAAATATAAAAAAAAAAAACTCGGAAATAATGTCTTATTATTTATTAAACATATTATCTATAGGTACTCGTAGTTACGTCAAAAATACAGTAAAATTAAATGCGGAAAAAACTTTGGTTAAGAAGATTAAAGTAATAAGTAAAATTATAGCGATTTTTATTTGAGATTAGATTATTATTCATAAGATATACATATTTTGCGCAAATATTATTGATACCTTCAAGATTATAATTTATTAGGTATTTGATCGAATATCAGCAAAAAGCGTTGATGCGATGCGATATTTATGCGAGTCTTAAAGAATGTACACGTACTCGTACCTACGTCGTTTTATTTTGTTATTTTTAAAAGTATCAAGGTTTTTAATTTATGATGGCATCGTGTGAGAGAGTAAAGCAATTTTTGATTTATTATTAAAATTTATAGCTTTATAGATTTCTCAGACATTAATCATTTTCTAGCAGTAAAAAGTATCCTATATGTTGAACCGGATAATCAGCTATCATCATAGTAAATTTCAGGAAAATCTGTGCAAAGGGTTTCTCGTAATGCGTTCCCAGACAGACAAAAAATCTATAAAACATTAGATTCTAATGACTATTTCAATAAGATTTTCCAAAAAATATTTAATACACAGATTCGTCTCAGAATTTCATTATATGTATAAATGTCTGAAATATAAATACTAAAAAGCGTATTATAAAAAGATTTACTTGATAAGCGTGAAGTAAAAAATCTACTTAACGATGACAGCTTTGATAATGCTTTTTAAATGTATATATGTTAAAATAAACGAATTGTATTTATTATGCAAATACTGTCCAGGTATATTACTTTATTAAGTTTTCTTATTAACACAGATTGCTTCAACAATTCTTTTAATATTTTTCATCCGGATACAAGTGGTGTTTCTAGGGAAAATGTTAATTTTTGAAAGCCCAAACAGTAAGAATCTAGGGCAGATCACAGGTTATCTTGTCATTTTTGGTTAATTTTAAAAAGGGGGATGGAATCAATTCATCTGAATTTTTTGTAGTAAATTATGTCGCCAATTTCTTTCTATTCTTCAATTAATTTTATGTTTATTTATTTTAATGAATAGGTTTTATGTTAAAGTTACCATATATAAATTTCAAATATAAGTACAATATATAAGGTTATAAACTCGATTCTTTGTTTCTTTATGTCATTATTGATAGATTATATCATCGATAAGTGTTTGATTGATTAGTCATCACTAAATAGTGTAGGGCAAATAATTATTTATGTATTTGAAACAATTATTACGTTAAAGTAAATAGACACTACGCAAAGGTTTTGTTCCCTCGGCAGAATAATTTAACTGGCAAAGAATGATGTCAATTAACAGATTCGTTAAGGACTTAATACTGGTGGAATGAATGATTCTCTTTACTAAACTCATCACTATTTTCAAGGTAGAACTCAGTATATGCTCATTTTTAATTTATCGTATTTATATAATGTATAATTTATCGTAAGTTTTTCACGATTTGCTTATGGTAACAAAAAGTATTAAGAATAATTTTCTAGATGCCTAATATTAATTCTAACTCAACTAAATCATTATAAACAAAGCAAATGCAAATTTAATATTTTAACTGCCTCGGTGGTCTAATGGATAGCATGTACGGTCACGGATTCGGAGGTTCGAGTCCTGGGTTGGGCCAAGTTCAGTCATTGAGTATTTCTATCAAAAAAATTCAGTAACAGCCCGGAGTTAGGAAGTTGGCGTTGTTTCACCCCCGTACCTTGGAGAGCACGTAAAGACGTCGGTTTGATTTCTCACTGGTTGTGTCAAGTAGTCGTCCCACCGGAGTATGCGAGTGAGAGGAGTAGAGAGTGAATTTAGTTTGTATTTGCACGTACACTCTTGTGCACTATAATATCTTCTGCGCAGATGGCTAGTCTCAATGAGATTGGCCGAAATCGGTCTTTTTTATCATATAGAAACCGAATTTAGTGACAAAATTCGAGTTCTCTATAGTGCATTTTTTACTGACACGATACAATGGTTTAAACAAGCCAAGCAAATCTACAAATATGCAAGTTCTACCAGAACTTTCCCAAAGACTTCATATCCAGTATCTAATACAAAAATCTGCAAACTTACCGTATGTGTTGAGGTAATAGGTTCAACATCTTTTCCATTGAATTTGTTAGCCCTATATACAGCAGTCTTGTCCCAATCAGTCCAGTACACCCAGTCTTCGAATGTAGTAATGGAGAAAGGATGTCTAAGCACGTCAGTTGAGTAGAGGATAACCCTTCGAGCAGTTCCGTCGTAGTTGCAAGATGATATGGTATTCAGCTTTGCGTCGACCTGAATGGAAAATTATATACGTAAACAACTAGCGACTTCCCGCGGCTCCGTCGGCATAATTTTTGTATGCTTATCTTTAAAAATTATGGCCTTTCTCAATAAATAGACTATAAAACACAAAAAGAGTAAGAGTTAAGAGATAAACGTGTTCAAATTTCTAACAAACTCTTCAGCTTTATATATTAGTATAGAATATATAGATATATATGTTTCTACTATATATTACATGTTAAAATTCATTTCTTTTATATGCCATTATGTAAGTAACATTATACATTTAAATTTTTTAAAGTTAAACTAATCAAAAGCAAAAAATCTTGGAGCACATATAATTAGATTGTATGGAACATTAAAGCTTGACCGGTGACTCAGTAACTGAAAGCGAACATCTAACATTTAGGTATAAAATACACCTAATTTTAGTTCTATTACTTTCTAGAATAATAAATTCTATAAAAAACCTTAATACATAATATGATTCATTCACATGGAAATACTTACCCAATATACACGTTTTCGGACTAAATCCAAAGTCAGACCATTAGGCCATTTTACATCATAGGAGACAATAGTCTGTCTGTGGGACCCGTCCATACCAGCACGTTCAATTTTCGGTATCTGGCCCCAGTCTGTCCAATACATCCAACTATAGGAAAAAACATTGTTAAATATCTCAATTGTTATATCAAAAATGTACTAAATGTGCCTAAAACATATCATTTATATATAATGTTTTTTTTTTATATGAGAACAAAATCATTTTTCATATTATAAACTGTAAACAAAAAAGTTAAACAAAAAGATTTAATAAGATAAACTTAAACTGTAAATTGTAAGCGTACATATAAAGTATTGTTTTTTTAGTAAAGTATTATCTTTCCCACTCGTTGGTTTTGTTTAGAAGGAAATAAATATTTATTCAACTCTTATGAATATTCCACTTCTTTATTGAAAATATCTGTGTACGAAAAATTTACATGTAATGTAGTGGTGTTTGTTTTCGACGTCGAATTGCTTTTAAACTAAAAAGATAAGCTAACTTCAAATCCATTCGATAATTCTTAGAATGGTATAATGGTAATGTCGTAGGTATAACCTTTTGGTTAAAATAAGAAATACGAGAATCGATTCTTTATAGATTAACGATATCTCTCAACATATACAAAAAAAAAACAAACTAACTGTGTACCTCCATCTTTCCTTTTTTTAAATCAAAAATGCAACGTACAACATATTAACAACATATTAACAACATATTAAAATATATAAAATATATTTTTTTATAAAACGCTCGTAAATTCTCCACTAATACAACAATATGATATAAAATGTACTAAATATTGTTATAGATAGATAATTATATTAAATAAATAGCACTTCCTGTCTGGCCTGCCGTCTACTTTTCTGGTATATTGTAATCAAGATGATTGGTATTAAATTATTTATCTACCTACTTAATGACTTATCTACTATTGAGATTAGAGATATTCGATCAATCACATCAAATATTATATTGTAATTAAATTGCTATAATATATGTATGTTTTTCAATTTTTGTTCTCAAAGTAAGCAATGATTTTAAAAAAAAACACGTGCACACTTGACCATTTTTTTAAAATAACTAATATATTTTAGTGAACTTGGCGAAATTTAAAATTAATATTTAAAAAACATATTAAATGAACATATTACGTCGTGGTATATCACTCAAAAGATCTTTTTTAAATAATGTTATTTAAAAGTAGGTACACATGGACGCAATTTTTTGTGAAATCTAAGTAGTTTTACATACATTTGAGGATCTTATATCTTTTGATTATCATCAAAAATGGTGTTTGTTTTTTCAATGTGCTTAATTTTTTACGTACGTACTTTATTATTAATTAAAATTAACAATGCGATTTGAATTTACTGCATGAGAAATAAAATAATATACATATGTACTTATACATACAGATATAAGTAAAGCCTCGTTATAAGTACTCTTAAGTCGTATTAAGCCAAAATAGGAGTGAGTAATAAATAAATAATTTTAATCTTATTATTATCTTATATTTAATATTGTATTTTTATGATTTGACAGTGGTAGCGCTTGGGAAACCGAGTGATCCGGGTTCAAATCCCGGGTCTCACATCTCTCTTCTTATTTTCATGTGCGAATCATTTCCAACGTGATGGCCACTTGTCTTACGGTGAAGGGAAACATACATCGTGACGGAACCTGCATGTCTGAAAGAACCTAACAAATTTTCGAAAGACATGAGAAGTCGGCCAACTCGCATTTAGCCAGCGTGGTGGGCTATGGCCTGATCCCGCTCGTATTGAAGGGAAGCCTGTGCCCAGCAATGGGACGTTGTTACTTACATTTTTCTTAATTGTATTGTATTAATGTAGCTGTAATTAATTTTATAACTCAATACTTATTTGTACGGCTTACATTGTAATTTTTTAAGGCACTTATTTTAATATTCTAAATATTCTTTGGCCTTTTCATATAATTTTTGATGGTCATTATCACCTATAATTAAGGTACTACAATATATGTATCTGTTTTGATTCCTGTATATGTGTTTAGTTAGTTTCATATACTTTGTTGAAATCAATCATAAAATCCACTCAACCAGAAGTATTCGTTGCATAAATCCCTAAACAGTATGAAATTTTAAAAATATAAAAGATTTAGTCATACCCGTCAAGAGGATTGAGGGCTATGGCTCTTGGCTCTTCTAGTTTATCCCTGATGAGGATCTTCCTCATATTGCCTTGAAGGTCAGACAGTTCTATGTGATTCTTGCCAGTATCAGTCCAATACAGGTGGTTATAGATCCAGTCTACTGCGAGACCATCTGATGTGATGAGCTGATCACCTATCACTACTGTACGTTGACTTCCTTCATCTATGGGAGCTCTGGGGGGACAAAAGCGTTTAATTTAATTTGTATTTTTTTTAACAATATAATGCGTAAAACGACGTCGAAGTTATAAAAGTAAGTTATATCGAATATATGAAGTAAAACTATATGGACTGCGACTCAATAATAAAAATGTTGAATTAAATTCGTGGTTTTCTCCATGTGTGCTTTTGTCCGATGATAAAAATTACAAAATAATGATTATACAATTTTAAAATATGATAAAAAGGAATACCCAGAAGAATAGGGTCTATTAGAATATGGAGACGTTTATTATTGACATACAATTCTAAAATTTTCTTTCACTAATAGGAACTTCCACTAACCCTAAGTGCTCAGAGAAGTACCTATTACAATATTTCTATTCTGAAAACTAGATTCACTATAATACTTTCTCAGATTTACGCGAATATTTGACATTTTAAATAAAACTATCTTTTCGGATTATTTCGCGGATATATTTTGATTTTTGGTTCCCGACGTTTCGAATGTTTTACAGCAATCATGATCACGGGAGAGACCCGAGACGCAGTCTCTTTCGTGATCATGACGTGACCGATGCTGTAAAGCATTCGAAACGTCGGAAACCAAGAATCAAAATAAATCTGCAAAATAATCCGAAAAGATAGTTTTATTTAATTAGATTTACTATGTAATGGGCTAAGCGAAAAAAATAGTATGTAACGGCAAAAAATATTTATAATAATACTGTTAGCTTACTTATAAATTTTCTCATCAGTAACGTCGCTCCAGAATATCATGCCAGTTCTAAAAACATAATCGAGGGCTGTGGCTGATTTTGTATCATTCACGATGGCTACCATCTCATGGTGATCGAGACTAATCTTTCTGATGTCAAAACGTCTAGCGAACAGTAGTGATGGGTGGCCTTCTGTTGCCTTGCACCTAGTCCTGTCTCTAGGATCCCTTGCGTAGCCAGCGTGGCACTCACATTTGAACGTACCCTTCTCATTTATGCATATTTGCGAACAAGCACCAGGATCCGCGCATTCGTCGATATCTAAAATAAATCATACAATATTTATCTATATATACAATACACATACATATAATAAAATTGTAACTAAGCCGAATCTGTACATTAAATATTTTTTGGAAAATCTTATTGAAATAAACATTGTTATCGATACAGAGGCCTAATCTATAGTTTTTAGAATTTTTGTCTGTCTGTCTGTTACCGCATCACAGAAAAACTACTAGAGGGATTTTGATGAAATTTGGTATGGTGATAGCTAGTTATCAGGGTCAACATATAGGATACACTTTACCGCGGGAAAATGTCTCATTTCTCAGAAAAAATGCAAAAACTGCAATGTAAGAGTATACTAATATGTAAAACTTAAGAATTTGGTTTTGGTCATCGGAACGCAGGTGGAGCCGCGGGCAATGCTAGTACATATAATAAAATTGTAACTAAGCCGAATCTGTACATTAAATATTTTTTGGAAAATCTTATTGAAATAAACATTGTTATCGATACAGAGGCCTAATCTATAGTTTTTAGAATTTTTGTCTATCTGTCTGTTACCGCATCACAGAAAAACTACTAGAGGGATTTTGATGAAATTTGGTATGGTGATAGCTAGTTATCAGGGTCAACATATAGGATACACTTTACCGCGGGAAAATGTCTCATTTCTCAGAAAAAATGCAAAAACTGCAATGTAAGAGTATACTAATATGTAAAACTTAAGAATTTGGTTTTGGTCATCGGAACGCGGGTGGAGCCGCGGGCAATGCTAGTACATATAATAAAATTGAAACTAAGCCGAATCTGTACATTAAATATTTTTTGGAAAATCTTATCTATTGAAATAGACATTATTATCGATATAGAGGCCGAATCTATAATTTTTAGAATTTTTGTCTCTCTATTTGTCTGTCTGTGACCGCATCACGGAAAACCCACTGGATGGATTTTGATGAAATTTGGTATGATAATATCTGGTTATTCGAGTCGAGATAAAAATTTTCACTATGGGAAAATATCTCATCTCTAAGAGATCTATACTAAACGTTAAGTTAAAACAAGTAGGGACGAAGCCGAGCGGAGAGATGGTGAGTCGCTACTTTACCTATATATCTCACAAAGTGTTACTGTTAACATTATTTTTATTTTTAGCTTTACAACCATAATACATGTCAGAAAGTCGCGAGTTTTAGTGAACGTGTTCGATTTTCCAAGAGAAAGTTTCTATTGATCTTGATTTGTGATGCGAAGGTGTAGTGTGCAAGACGCTTCGTTATATACGATACAAGTACAAAACAATGTAGGTTTAATATTCTCAGTTTATAAGGAAAACAACAGCTTTACAAGAAAAACAAAGCTGTAACAGCTATCTAGTTTACATCTTATTTTTTTAACCGACTTCAAAAAAAAAAGGAAGTTATCAATTCGACACGTATGTATGTACCTATGTAATATTAATGGAACTGCAAAATATTCAATTATCATAATCTATTAGGGCTTTTAAAAAGATTTACAAAATTTATTATTATTAGCTTACCATTTATTTCAACTAACAGAATAGTAAAGGTTTTATCAAAATCGCTTCAGTAGTTTTTATGATATGGACTAATTTCTTTTTTCAGCCCAAATAAAGGGCAATGAACTTAACAATATCCACACCTAAACGTAAGTTATTTATCGACAGAGTCACTTGCTAATTAGTGAAACAACACGGTATGTTTATTTAGCTCAATATGCATCGTGTTAACAACGGTATTTGATATCGCTCGCTTTGTCAAATGGATTAGCAACAATCGATTCTAATACCCGCCATACCAAATCGGATAGCCTTTTTAGAATCCAATAATTCAAATATCTCATAAAGCAACATGGTTGGAACCGGAAAATCTTTATGTTATATCATGCCGTAGAATTATTTAGTTTTTTTTTGTGTCATGCATATTCTGATACGTATTCTTGTTATAATACTAGGTATTCCTGATGCTTAGACAACGTGTCATTATACAAATGTGAAAGAATACAATACTCGTATTGAAGTGAGAAAATTATTCGTTAATTCGTTCATTTAATTCAAAAGAAAAAATACATATACGCCATGTTGTGTCTTAACCCGATCGGTACAAACATTAAAACAAACATTTGCCCTATGCGGGAATGGAACTCGCGACATTAGTGCCGATATTGATTCACCAATTAGGTTAAGACGATTTTAGCTTTGAAGTTGAACTTTGTACGTATCCATGATTTGTAGCTAATTATTATCGAATCTACATATTAATAAATAATTTCTATAGATCGAGAGTAATTTGTCTATCAATATATAGAATTAATCATTTGCGTCTTATAATTCGATATCATAAACTCAAAGATTGCTCATGAATACTAATTTATATATCACTTAATACGCATAATTATTTTAAATTAGGTATTAAGATAATTTTTTGCAAGCCATTGTTTACTTACACTTTCAAAGTAATTTATAAGCGATCGTATTAATCATATTATATTTAAATCCACGTTTAATGATATAAATCTAATATAAATCTATACTAATATTATAGAGGTAGAGTTTGTGAGTTTGTGACGTTGTAGGGGTAATCTCTGGATCTACTGAACCGATTTAGATGAATTCTGTTAAAATGATAGTTTGAGACCCTGGGAAGGACATAGGATACTTTTTATCTCGGAATTATTCTTCAAAGGGAGTGAAAATGGAGACGAAAGTTTGGGAAAGTATTGGGAAGCAATCTAGGGACGAACCCGAGGGAAGCGGGGATGAATCGCTAGTTTATTATAAAATCACTTGTAATCCTTTTATAAAGAATATATATATATATATATATATATATATATATATATATATATATATATATATATATATAATAAAATTTACCAATTAAACAAAAGGTTGTGCATAAAAGTATTTGGGCACATATTAAGGTCAATATCTGCACAAACATTCAGTAAAGAATTGTTTATTTGTGTTTGTGAACAAACAAACCTTTACTAAATATTTACCTAATATTCAAAACGGATGATTCAATTTAAATGGGGCTTTCACTGGCAGAAACGGATTTCGGTGGGAGTGATACATGGTTAATATCGCTATAACAACCGAGCAAATGCGCGAGCGAAAGCTAAATATGTAAAAATTACCTTCACAAGTTCGATTGTCCGTTAGCTTATATCCTTTTTCGCAATCGCAATAATATCCAACGGGTGTATCAACACATTTTTGAGTGCATCCTCCATTATTCTTCGCACATTCGTCTTCTCCACACCGGTCTTTTGGTTCGTCTTCGAAGTTCGGGCAATCGGGATGTTTGTCACAGACCTTCGATAGCGGTATGCACATACCGCCGCCGCAATCAAATTCTGTTTTTTTATCACACACTGGCTTAGGTCGAGCTGGAAAGTAATATGTTTTATAAAAATAATTGAAAATCCTCTCATTGTTAAAACTTGTAAAGATGATATTTTTTGTGCTTTTATTCGATGTTATGACATATTTATACTATATTTTTTTTAATAAATCGTAAATTTTATAATAAAAATGTTATTTATATACGAGTACAACCAAAGTACTCCACTGAGCTGTATGATCAATAGAACTCATAAAATAAATTTAATTTGATTAGATTATTTATTTTCAGTAAATTTTTCCCAATTTCCTATATTACACAACAGTACAAAAAATAATTAAATTATAAAAATGTTTAAAGTTAAAAAATATTGTAATGTAATTGGTGCAATTTTCATTTTGTTAATTGTGGGTAGGCTGTCTGTAACAACTATACATTCAAGACATGTAACACCTCAGTCTCTCCCGTGACCATGGATGCTGTAAAGCATTCGAAACGTCGGGAACCAAAAATCAAAATAAATCCGCGAAATAATCCGAAAAGATAGTTTTATTTAAAAATGTCAAACATTCGCGTAAATCTAAGAAAGTATTAAGGAAAAGGATTTTAATAATAAATTTACTTACTACAATTGAGTTCGTCACTTCCATCTGGACAGTCCTTCTCTCCATTACAATAGAGTGCTCCAGGTATACAGCTGTGATCTTTGCATTGGAACTGATCTAATCTGCATGTAATATTCCCTCTGCAAATCTCAGGAGCCTCGTCCCCTCCGTCGGGACAGTCGCGGTCTCCATCACATACCCACGCTCTATGAACACAGGTCATCCGGTCCTTACATTCAAACTCTGTGGCTATACATGGCGATATCATTTTAGGTGTAGTTGAACAGCCCTGAAATAGATAAATCATAATGAAATTAGTTTAAACATGTGTAGTTAAGAATTTAGTATTGTCTCATTAATTAACGACATGTTGGCATGACCCACTTGTTGTGCTAGCGGTCGCGGGTTCGAGTTTCGCTGGGGGCATTCATTTGTGTGATGAGCACGAATGTTTCTATGCCAATCACGAGTGTTTATATTTATAATATGTATGTTTTTAAAGTTATATATGTGTAATGTATCAACTATTTGGTATCCATAACACAAGCCGCGCAGCTGACCATGGAAGTAGGTGGTGCCGTTTGTTAATGTCCCAACATATTAATTTATTTATTGAATTTTATGCCTAGATTAGAGCTCGGATAACTTTTAACAACGCTCAAAAATACCGTGAAAAGTAAAAATTCACTTTGTAAAATGTAAATTAATCTAAAGTGTAGTCTGCTTAGCTAGTAATTTAAACTTGGATAATATCTCTCAAATTGCCTAGGTTCCAAGGAAGTTCATATATAAAGCTATAACTATTTGTCATTACAAAATTGCATAATGTGGGCACTATATCAAACGAATTGGCAATATCGTTACATTAAGTTATAATTACCCAACTCCTAAATGTAGTTAAAGACACCTGTATTGCTAACTTGAAAGTCAGTTAGTTATAGTTTCTAAGTTATAAATTGCTCCAAAATTTATTTTATGACTTTCGAGTAGGTACTTTGATTAAAAATGATAGCTTACTTTAAAATTCTATTTTTTAAATGTTATTTCTCTTTTTAAAGGATTTTTAAAGAATGATTAAAAAGTGCCCTAAAACCCTGAGAACTCGTCCGTACCTCATATACTTAGAATAAATATACTCGTAACTAGTTCTACTTGTGTTGTATAACTTGTAAAAGCAAATATTAGTCTCAAAATATTCAATATGACTTAGGCGCCACATTTAGTATTTTAGTGGTGTTATGTTAGAAATCTATACATACCTGTAATAAAGTTGTAACCAAGCCGAATCTGTACATTAAATATTTTTTGGAAAATCTTATTAGCCGAATTTATAGTTTTTAGAATTTTTGTATGTCTGCCTGTCTGTCTGTCTGTCTGTTACCGCATCACAGAAAAACTACTGGAGGAATTTTGATGAAATTTGGTATGGTGATAGCTGGTTATCCGGGTCAACACATAGGAACATTTTACCGCGGGTAAATATCTCATTTCTGAGAAAAATACAAAAAATGCAATGTAAGAGTATACTAATATGTACGACTTAAGGATTTGGTTTTTGTTCATTTCAACGCGGGCGGAGCCGCAGGAAGTGATAGTTTCGCATATACACCCTTTTCTAATCTATGCGGGCGACTGACCGCTGCCCTGGAGGCACGATTGATATAGCGCCTTTATATTTCAGAGTTCACTAAATTAAGTCAAACAACTGGGCTAAAGGTCTTGAATATAAACTTTATTAAATAAACTAAATGTAGAAATTTAAAGCTTATTATCTACATGCCTTAGGTACAATTTTATAGACAAAAATATATCGTCATCAAATTGAGATGAAATATTTATGAATTTAAAACGGAATCTTTCTCGTCAGTAAGTATACTTTCATGAAAACCTTATCAAAATCCTTAGAGCAGGTTCGGAGTATGTGACCGTGCTCACGTGGTAGATATATCGATAAAATAGTTTAGCTCGTTAATTCAGGGTATGGAGCTACCTTCTAATGTAATAAGCTATTTTCGTCATGTTGTGGTCGCACATCCACTTAAGGGGCACGGATTCCCCTCGCTTCTACCTACAGGTGAACTATAATATAATAAGCCATTTTCATCCCGAATTTTACCTTTTGCTTTTCCCTTACAACGTGATTTTAACATATTAAGTGTGATCTTACCGTTTCATCACTTCCGTCGGGACAATCGATATCTCCATCACACCTCCATCTTGCAGTTACACAATGCCCATCAGCACATGAGAAGTGAGTATGAGGTTGACAAGTAGGCGCTGGACACTTCACTTCATCGGTGCCATCGCCACAGTCGTCATCACCATCGCAAACCCACCGATGCTGAATGCATTTGCCGTTCCCACATGTGAACTCGTCAGAACGACATGTCTCATCTATACAGACGGTTTAATAGATTAGTTATAATGGTATATAGAATAACGTAGAAAACTATTTATTTGTTAGCACAACTATATATTATATAACTTTTGCTAGAAACACAACTAAGCAAAATATTATTTTACATTGTTAAAATTTAATAACAAGTCATCCACGGAATATCTTTAAAAGCAATTATTTCTTAGAGAACAATTCTAGGAAAGAAAATGCCAAAAGGGTGCAGTCATTATTAAAACATTCCTCAGACAGCCTCTAAGTGGCCAAGTAATGAAGGAGAAAAATAAGAATTAACCGGGAGCAGTGTAATGAGAAAACGCAAAAAATGGTTGCAATCATGAAACCAAGTATTACCCGTGACCTTTGATGCTAATCCTCGAAAAGCCGCAATGAGTTTTATTACATTAATCAATCCTATCCCTCCTGGACATACTGCCCTAACACTTTAGCGGTATCTCTTTTATTAAATGCAGTGTTTAATTAAATTCCTTCGAACAGACAAACTGCTAGCTGTTAACGTTCTTTTAGAAAAAAAGTAAATTTATTGCATATCCTGCAAAACTACAACTTTAAATTGAAACAGAAAACTGCTTTTGAGAATATTTTACTGAGGAATACAAGAAAAATTGATATAACACTACGGTGATTTTACTTCCTACATTAAAATGTATCTCAATGTTACTGGAAATGTGCGGAATTTTTTTCTCCTATAGAGTTCGTTACTTGTGTGACGACACTTTCGTAGATAGCTTCTAATAAAAGAAATTAAAAAGAGTTGCACGACGTTTCTCATTAGACTTTCCTATATTAGGTAACTATAATATATTAAAACTGATGCATGTTCTGCTTTATGTTATTTTTAGTAAGTACCTAGTTATAAACTTTTATGTATGTATATAAACCATATGTCTTTTTTCCTATAAGAATTCGTCGTCGATGTACATATGTTTCGTTATCGAATTTACATATATTTTAATACAAAATTTCAATACTATACTCAATTTAATCGTTCATTATTGTATATATATACTGCTCTATCTTTAAGAATTTTTATCGCGGTCGAGAAAGTAAACAATTTTGATCGAACGCCGTAATATGTCGGTGGCAGGAGGTATAACACCCTAGTCCCCTGAATATAATATGAAGCTTCATACATCTTTATTTTATTTTCACCTCGCATGAGGAATATAATATGAAAAGTATAATATTTTGTTTCAATTATGAAATACAGCCTTATAGCTAGATCAATCAAATGATGCAAACATGCAAATATTTAATTTTAATTAGGATTATTGTAAATGATGTATATACAAATGTATTTGTTAGTATGTATGAATACCCTTACTGCATGCTTTTTCATCGGACCCATCGGAACAGTCGATGTTGTCGTCGCACATCCACGTGAGGGGCACGCATTCCCCTCGTTTCCCCCTGCAGGTGAACTCTTCAGGACCGCACGCTTCCACTTCTGCCAAGTCAAGCCATGCATGAGCACTTTATGAAGCATAACGTCGATAAATCCTAGCTTCAGCCTTACTTTAATATAATATTTATTATTACGCCAATAACCTATATCAAGTATTAGTATAGAATTTATAGTAACATGTTATTTTGTGGGGTTTGTAACCACAACTTGATTGTACATTGTTAACAGTAAACACTTATATCCGGAATATATTTGTACATTTAGTAACATTTTACTTTTACTAGACAAAACTTTATCAACAAAACGCTGTATAAATAAACTATTATGTAATAAATAAACTTGTTTTTGACTATAAACGTTAAACCATAAAAGTAAGTATATTTAAAAAAGGCCCTTAATTGTAATAGCAAACATCATTTTAGAGACAAGTCATAATGTAACCGCGCCTTAATTAAATTTCATCATTCATTTCGTTTTACACCAAAAAATATTTCAAAAAGTTCGTAGTGGGCGAAGTAAACGTTGGGAGGTCTTAAAGAGAATTTTACGAGCCCTCAATTTTTAATTTGACTTCCGTTTTACTGTTTGTGGAGGCTTTAATCTAATTGCATTATAATTTATACACAGCTTAAACAGTTTTTTATTACAGTTCAACTAAAGTCAAAATTGTATATAGAAATATATAACCCTTTATTTGAATTATTAGCCTTACATTTATACTTTTTGATATTTCGACTGGTGATTCTTATAATAGATGAAGTTGACACCCAATAACCAGATGATCGCATACTTTTCTTATAACAATAATCATTTGCAGTACAAGCTTAACTGAAAAAATGATGAATCTGAGCAGAAAAATATGGTTGAGATGACAGTTTCTTCATCAGACACCCGAAGGCACGATCCCATGCTGCAGAATCTATACATCTTACCGCAGTGGTGCTCGTCAGAACCATCAGGACAGTCTGCAGTGTCATCGCAATGCCAAGATCCAGGTATACAATGTCCGGTAGCACACACAAAATTGTGTTCTGGACATGTTCGTTGCGTAACTGTATTTGAAAGTCATTTGATATAGGACTACTGATGATTGGATAATAAATATCGCGCCGTTTGCATTTTTCACATATTATTGATATTAATAGTACTAAATATGTGACTTTAAATCTATACATATAATACAATTGTAACTAAGCCGAACCTGTACATTAAATGTTTTTTGGAAAATCTTATTGAAATAGACATTATTATCGATACAGAGGCCGAATCTATAGTTTTTAGAATTTTTGTCTGTCTGTCTGTCTGTTACCGCATCACGAAAAATCACTGGAGGGATTTTGATGAAATTTGGTATGATGATAGCTGGTTTTCCGGGTCAACATATAGGATACCTTTTACCGCGGGAAAATGTCTAATTTCTGAGAAAAAATACAAAAACTGCATTGTAAGAGTATACTAATATGTAAAACCTAACAATTTGTTTTTTAGTAATCTGAACGCGGGCGTAGCCGCGGGCAATGCTAATTGCAAATAAATAAAATACTTTTAATAAGTTATTCCGAATTTCACATGTACCTACGAAGAGTCTTAGCGTAAACATAAATTAATAGAATCCTACTTAATTAATGAGACTTATAATATAATTAATGACGATAAACAGTTGTTATTTCGAGCATGATGTTGTTTCATGACATCCAACGAATTAAACAAATTAAGGGACTTAGCATCATTACAACGCGAGACAAATCTCTATTTAAACGAATTTATCACAGCATAATCTAATGGCTTAAAATTAGCAAAACTACCCTCTCATACTGGATATTAACATCTCGTATAAATAAAAATAATAAATAATTCTTCATATTAAACTATTAACTTTGAAACGGGATTCCTCTAAATGTAGGTAGATAAGCCTTTTTGAGAAAAACCTTTTGATACTGCACTTAACTGTCTATAGAATTCTTTAGATTTAATTTTATAACAAAGGATAACAAAACATTATGTCCTCGGACAAACATAACGGGATTTTCTATTATATAGGGTTACAACCGAGCTAAATGTACAAAGTTGCTGGTGGCGGTCGCTAGATGTGTACTAAAATAAAACCTTAAATCCCATATGTCCGCTATACGTATTGTTACTGCTTGATGCCGAGTAATCCAGATTTCAGTGTGTCAATTTTAACTGACGTATTGTTGGAATGATTGAAGCTAACCAAAATTCATTTACATGGTATTATAAATACAAATTTCGAAATTAAAAGACAGTTAAATCGATGTATTCAAATAGAATTCTAATTTTCAATTCATAACAGAAAGAAAATGGTGGGAAAGGGCAAAGATTATAATATTAATCCAGGAAACTTCCGAAGCGTAATTAAGATTTTAATCCACGTCCGAAGCCCCGCTAAGGACAACGTGCTACCTTAAAACTTTTTCCATAAATCGCTAGATAATTATTTTGGGGTATAATACGAAGAAGATTTTCTGGGTATTATACTGAATATTTAGTCTAACAAAATAAGAAAATGTTATTAATTTATAATAATCTCATATTTTATGGATTGATATTTTCTAATATGCAAACTTAACAAAAAATAAAAATATTTTCTAACATCTATACATATAATAAAATTGTAACTAAGCCGAATCTGTACATTAAATATTTTTTGGAAAATCTTATTGAAATATACATTATTATCGATACAGAGGCCGAATCTATGGTTTTTAGAATTTTTGTCTGTCTGTCTGTCTGTTACCACATCACGGTAAAACCACTGGAGAGTTTTTGATGAAATTTGGCATGATGATAGCTGGTTATCCGAGTCAACATATAGGATACTTTTTACTGCGGGAAAATGTCTCATTTCTGAGAAAAAATACAATAACTGCAATGTGAGAGTATACTAATATGTAAAACCTAAGAATTTGGTTTTGGTCATATGAACGCGGGCGGAGCCGCGGGCAATGCTAGTATATGTTATAAAACCTGACATATTTCTATAAGCCTGTCTTATTTATAGCCAGTCTTGTATAATGTGCTAAACAAATAGAAATCATGACAGAAAATTAAATATACATAGAGATAAAACAAAAATGTGAGATTTTGAACTACAATTTCAAAGTTGATAAAGGGCTTTTTATGAGATTTTGTCAATTGTGATCTGCATTTTCATTGTTCTGTATATGTTTGAACACAATAGACCCGACATGTTATTTGACATGACCCAAAAGTGGCTATTTGTATATAAAATATTTGTTCTAAAGATACATATTGCTATATTGTTCTTGTCGTCAGATTTGATTGGTTCTTATACATAAGGAAATACAAAGCGTTTTAATATATTTAATCATATATGTTTGTTAAAGCTTTTAAAATAACGTAACTAATAATTCGCTCTCTAGGAAAACTAAGTGAGGTTCAAACCCTAAGACTCGTAAATTTTTAATCGCAATGAAGGAAGATATGTTGGACTACGACCATATCGCCTCGCATAGAGGGGAGGCCCTGAACTAAATTATTATCATAAGACATATTCCAAACGCTAACTAATCTTTATTTTTGCTGTATTTTTAACGTATTATACCTTAACTCATATAAAATTTTATTTACACAATATGTAATACTCACTGCAAGTGCCAGGTTCTTCATCAGATCCATCGGAGCAGTCTTTCTCATTGTCACATCGCCATGACATCGGCACGCATCGTCCTGTCTTGCATCGGAATTCTGATGATGTACAGGTGCGACTTTCTGTAAACAACGAGATAAATTATTACACAACTTTTACGTTTTGTATTACTACAGCACAGTGTTAAATTTTAGCAGCTTTATCTTGAAGTGATTCGCACGCACCGTCGAGCAATTTGTAAGCAAAACGTACACCCTCGGAATAACGGGAGTGCCGACTGCGTAGCCCTTTACAGTAACCCGCGTAATAAATTTGAGTATACCACCAGAGATTGCTATATCGTATAACGCGTTGTTCGCACAAAACAGGCACACGAAATCTTCCCTTTCATCTCCCTACCATTCAGCAGGGTCGTTATATAGCTATGGATATTACAAACGCGAGAATTTTGCTCAATTCAAAGTAGCTGTTATATTTTTTATATATTTCTCTTTGTATTTATATTTACGAGTACCTTCCATGTTTTTTTAAAGATATAAATAATTATATTATTATTTGTAGCGCACGAATAACTTATAAGCCAACTAATAAATTATCATGTGCCTATGCATCGTTTAAAATCCACTACTATATTAAAAATGATCTTTACGTATAATAAAAAATACTTACATAGATCGATGAATGTAATAAAATTAAATTTATTTAATAATTCACGCTACTTTATTTCAATTTTTTTTTATATCAAATAAAGAAAAAAAATGAACCGCTAAAATAAGCTTGGAATAAATAATAATAATAATAATTCGAAAAATAAATAATCATAATTCCTCTGAATTAGTAAATGGGCAAATTCTGAGCGTAAACAGTGAATTGCTGAATTTTTCATATATTTACCTTTATTTACCATGAGACATAAGCCGGTGAGTAATAAAAATCTACTTTTATAACAACATACCGGTAATCTCCAGGGGAATGGTAGGCTATGCCGAGAACCTCACAAGTTACTATATTCGAGAGGCGCTGGAACCGTTATACCTAATAGCCAAGTTAATACTCCAAGCACTTGTAGTGCGGAGTTCATTCATTTAATCCCTGTGTTAAGCCGCGCCTATTATACCCATATGTAAATTAACTTTCGCGTGATCTGATTTCTTGTCCCACATATTGAACAATTTGTATATATCTATGATCGATATACTCGTAATGGACTGAAATTCCAAATTCGTATATCTATTGATACATAAACAAAACGGTTTGGTTTTTTTTATTTGACACATGACATGAATACGTCATGTTGCTAATATTTATGCATATATATCACATATTGCTATCTTCCATTTGAGTTTAAGCTCGCGGTTAGTGTTTCTTATAAAGCTGGAGCTGTTTGCGAATCAAATAAAAATAAGTCATCTACGTGTGAAATTGCTGAAAAGTTTATATATTAATTAGAATAAATAATGCAGTAAATCTCATCTCTCTTCTTCAATTCAACAATTTCCTGCTAAACGGATATTAATTTTTAATAGAGTTCGTATTTTGTTATTCATTAAGTTTATTTAAAATTCCATACTTCTCATACACAAGGTCAAGACTCCTTTTTCAAATCATTAGGGACGGATTAACCGAAAACAGCACCTCATTAATTAAATTAAAAAGTTTGAAATTTTACCTTTTAATTAAGATGAGAGGATTATTTTATTTAAAAACCAAGGAATTTCTGTTATTTCGAGACTATGATCGATAAAATGTGAAATAAAATAAATTTTGCAAATAGAATTAATAGATAAAAGGTTCTATTCACAAGGTAGGTAGATGTATTTAGTGACAAATTAATTGAATGAATTATTTGTATTATAGAGCAATTAATTATTAAAAACTTGGGACGCATGAACGTCCCTAGTTACGTTTTAACGTTTAGTCAGATTCTAGTTACGTTTTAACATTTAGTCAGATTTCTTAGAGATGAAATATTTTCCCGCAGTAAAAAGTATCCTATATATTGACCCGGAAAACCAGCTAAAATCATACCAAATTTCATCAAAATCTGTTCAGTGGTTTTCTCGTGATGCGTTCCCAGATAGGCAGACAGACAGACAAACATTTCATAAACTATAAATTCGGCCTCCGTATCGAAAATAATGATTATTTCAATAACATTTTCCAAAAAATATTAAGTAAGAGCATATTAATATGTAAAACATAAGAATTTGGTTTTTGGTTATCTGAACGCGGACGGAGCCGCGGGCAATGCTAGTTTAATCATAAAACTTTTGAAATATTATATCTAACGATTTTCTACAGATGCGTGAATAAGTCATAGATAACTTAAGAAGGAATGGAAATCATATCTTATAGCAAACAAATTACTGGCGGTCACATCAAATAGTTGAGCTTTACTTAGTTATCCATTTAAGCCACACCAATAGAACAAGGAGATTAGAGATAGTGTACAGTTAATTAATCCCTGGGATATAGGGTCCTATTATCAGAATGGTAAATACCATTGGTCGCAATGCAGGGACGCAGTTTGTTAGAGCTGACGGCAGCTTTACTAATCAACTGAGGCAAGATTAGCTATCACTTATTTAAGCCCTCATAAATTCCTTTTTATTTATGTATACCTGCTATTAATGGCTATGGCTAAAAAATGAATTAAAGGCAGTGGTAGCCCAGTGGTAACGCGCTCGCTTGGGAAACCGAGTGAAGCGGGTTCAAATCCCGGGTCTCGCACCTCTGATATTTTCATGTGCGAATCATTTCCCACGTGATTACAACTTGAAGGAAAACATCGTGAGGAAACCTGCATGTCTGAGAGAACCTAGCAAGTTTTCAAAAGACATGTGAAGTCCGCCAACCCGCACTTGGCCAGCGTGGTGGACTATGGCCTGATTCCCCTCGTACTGAAGGGAGGCCCGTGCCCAGCAGTGGGACGTTAAAAAAAGGGCTGAATACACTATGTTAATATTATTAAACTTTAAAAAACTATGTAAAATCATTTATGTATAGTTTTTTCTATCTCTATCATCAAAGCTATGTTGTCATCGAGGTGTTATATGGGTTAATAAAACTAAACTTAAACTTTTTAATTAAACACATAAACGAAACAAGTTAAAAAAAACTTGTAAAATTTCACTTAAAACCTCAACATATTGTTTGGAGTACGCAAAAAGCCCATATAAAAGTTGTTAGATGTAAATAATTAAAACTGGTAAGAAATTATGAAGTTTATCACAACTTCGAGAACTATAATATAAAAGTGCGAAGAAAATAAGAGAAAGTTATTTCTTTTGTTTGTTAAATAAAAAATAACTGTATAGAATTTCAGTTTAGTATTGGTTTATTGAATTGGTGAGATCGCGTTTCTACCGTTTTGACCTTTAGATGTATTTTCGCTAGATGAAATCACTTTGATATGATATGGTTACAAAAATTGCTCCCGCTAAATTGCTTCAGGCTTCGGCGCTTGTTTCAAGAAAACTATTAATGTTATTATCTGGGTTCCAATTTAGTATCTATTTGGCTAGTATGATATGATTTGACTTAAAATATATTTTTTTATTACTTTTAGATGAAATGATAAGCAACGTTAAAGGCACTTCGTGCTTACATAAGGTTATTATATGTAAATTCCTATAATGTAATCAAATTCTACTTCTTTACATAATATAGAATGAAGTCGCTTCCGTTGTCTGTTCGCTTAGATCTTTTAAACTACTCAACAGATTTTAATGCAGTTTTCAGCAATAAATAGAGTGATTCAAGAGGAAGGTTTATATGTATAATACAAATTCAAAAATTTGTATTTCATACTAACCGTTAAAACGTACCTAGGGACTAGTTTAAATATAACACTAGCTCATTTTTCAAGCTTCTTTACTGAAACTTTAAATTTAATAAATCCTGTTTTTATTTGATAACAACCTTTTGTTATAATTAGATACATACACATGTATCAGTTTAACTAATAGTTCTAATCGACTTAGCCGACAGAATAATCTGGTAACGTATATGATAATGGAAGGTGAAATCTTATTAACTCTAAAGACCTGCGTATAAAGGGCATAGACTAAATGAAACCTTAATACGTCTTAATATATCACGTAACAAGTTTCTTTGTAGTTTCTATTTTCAAGCAAAAGCTCTTATAAATGTTAATAATATTTTTTTTATATTCATATATTTTTATCTTGCGAAAGTCAATAAAGTTAGAATGGTGACGCCTTTCCCTGCTTTATTTTAGTATCGTGATATAATATTATCTGCATCAAAGAATACGGTCGTTCATATGCAACAATCAACGTAAATCAAAGTCTTCACTAAGATAGATATACGCCTTAGACACTAAGGTTAGATACCACTCGTCAGTCTGGTGCGTACCAATAGTGCAGTGTTGTAGTGCTATCTATAAATAAAAAATATATAATCTAGCTATAAATACTATGTAAAAGGATTACAGCGAAAACAAAGCTTCAAGTATTAGGTACTATAGACTAGCATTCCATGTAGCAGTTCAACTCCAACATCGTATGCACTGGGATTTTAATCAACTCCAAAGAAGTTAGTAGCACAACTCAGGGTAGAGGTACTCCAACAGATTTTAACCTTTTTATTTTCAAAGGAACTCCGTAACGAACTATGCACGCCTGAATCCAGAATGAGTTTGGATTTTTCTCTTTGTTTCCGAATCTTTTTTCATTCATTTTGTATTCTATTGTAATGAATAAGCAAATAATAGTTGCAATGTTATATCGTGTACCAATTAACCTGAACCATTTCTATTTTCTGCAATATTCTAAGTAATGTCGAAACAGTGCGCATGTATTAGGTGAAATTGTCCCCAAGATGGCAGTAGCAGAAGTGCCGAGAAATTGTATTACCGGGCCATCCTCGCAAGGCACCGGCGATGAGTGCATTCGTTACCGACGTAACTGGCAGCTTTGAAGCGCACTCTAACATTGCGCATGCTGTGGCGTTCTATACTCTGGACCAAGTTATGCACAAAATAGTTTCAACAGCCCCATTAGTCATGAAAACACTAAACTGCCGGCGTTTAAAGATATAAAAATAAATTCCCACTAATATACTGACACGTAAGTACCTGCATTAAGTAGCTTCTATAGTTATAATATAATTGAATTGAACTGTTACAACGTGAAGAAGCACCGGGAATCACTCACAAGTTTTCGCATTTTTAATGTGTCATACATCATATTACGAGTATAATCTTAGTTCAAATTCTCTTATACAGTAAATAGTATCGATCATTTAGAGTTCCATGGGCGCTGGTAACAGCATCAATGAATTGGTCCTTAAAATCTGAATTGTATTTTAGTAATTTTTTGCTTTTGCATTTCCCATTCCAGGAACGACAAGGGTATTGATATAGTACCTATACTAGGTATACCTAGCTTTCAGTCCTTATTGATACAGTGTGTCAGTTAGCCTCTCCTGCGCGTTGACGCAAATATTTATCCCAAGAGAAAGCGAAACATGTCACCTCCGACTTAGTCATCAGTGATAGACACAATATATGAACATACACACACAGGTCACAGGATCGTTTTTGTATGAATTATTTATTGGAAACATTACTTTTTAAACAAGTAGAGTAATCATACTCATGGGTTGTGTCAGACAATTAAAACTAGAATCACAACTTCGTCGGATGTCCTCATATATATGTGATGCTGTGTTCTATAAAAGCATCCGCTTGCGATTTGTTTTATCGTCATTGTTACTTAGGTATTAATTTTCCCACATATTGTTACATAAAATTTTATAATGTATTAGATATTTTGTAATTATAAGATATAAATTAAACTATCGAGACATTTGTAAAAAAATAATTATATTATAAAAAAAAATTTGCTCTATAGGAAAAAACGAACTTGGCCTATAATCGATCTATTTTGTATATTGAGTTACATATATGTATGTACAATGTACATACATAAGTACGTACCATTTAAAAAAAAAAACAATTTTATGACAAAAACTAGCAAGTCAAATCGCCATTAAATTATCTTAGTTTTCTTATTTTTTTTTGCACAATGTTTAAATGTTAAAGAAAATCAAATACTTTTCGACGCGAAAGAAAAAGTTCATTACAAAACTCGCGAAAGTTAAACAAGAAACGCTTTTTGTCTGCAACTTTAAGTTTAACAAGCGACGTGTTCTCTCGTTGTTTTTCAAACAAAACTTAACACATGTAAGTTTTGACAAGAATAATCCAATGTGTTTTTAGTTTTAATTAACAACTTAAATGCAAAGATACTTTAACACACTATCTATTTAATTTTCGCTATTTACACAAAGTCGACTATATGTCATATGTTATACTCTTAATGCTAATGCAGAATCTCTTTTGAGATCACTGCGACTTCGTTAATATCGATTTACATCCAATATGGGCGTTTTATGCAATCGAATCGATACCTACCTATTAACTAGAAGTTCGATTCAAAATACCTAACATAGGGGCTAAAAAACACTTATTTTAACAAAGATACTGTCAATTAACAGACTATTTGGTTATTACTCCATTCAAGGGTTTCTTTTTGATGGAAATGCATTAAGATAAACTGAATCATACTCGATACCCTAATAATATGTTATAATGTTATATTAAAACACTGTAATTCTGTATTTAATATATAATTTTTTTCACCCACTTCTCAGCAGAACTGCTTTTTATGTAGCTTACCCTACTCTTCTTCTTCTCTCTTTAAATTATATTTATTCCCCATACAAACTTTCATCCCCATTTTCACCCCCGTAAGGGATTATTTCCGGGATAAAAAGTATCCTATGTCCCTTCCAGGGTCTCAAACTATCTTCTTACCAAATTTCATCTAAATCGGTTCAGTAGATCCAGAGATTACCCCCTACAACATCACACATTTACAAACTTCTGCTCTTTATATAGACTAGCAATGCCGCCCGCGTTCAGATTACCAAAAACCAAATTCTTAGGTTTTACATATTAGTATTTAGTATACTCTTACAATGCAGTTTTTGTGTTTTTTCTCAGTAATGAGACATTTTCCCGCGGTAAAAAGTATCCTATATGTTGATCCGGATAATCAGCTATCACCATACCAAATTTCATTAAAACCCCTCTAGTGGTCTTTCTGTGATGCTGCAACAGACGGACAGACAAAAATTCTAAAAACTATAGATTCGGCCTCTGTACCGATAATAATGTTTATTTCAATAAAATTTTCCAAAAAATATTTAATGTACAGATTCGGCTTAGTTACAATTTTATTATATGTATAGGTTAACGACTCAAAAGTGCTTTTATAAGTCTAATTGAATAAAGTTAACTTTCATTGATTACATTATTACTTACCCGATGAAGCAAAATCGTAGGCCCTAGTGTATGTGTCGTAATCGTCATCATATATCGATGTCTTGACGCTCGTCAGAAGCGTAAATGCAGTTATCCAAAACACCCACCACATGGTCATTATCATAGTCTCCTTTGTTATTTAAAAATCACTCAATTTATATTATATATACACTTTGCAGTTGCCATGAACTGTATGATAAGTTTGGATTGTGGCTAAAAGAAGTTAAAGATAAAATAATAATTCTAGCAATTTAAAAAACCTACTTTTGTTCATTGTTTCTTAAAATTATTTCAAAATATATTTTAAGAAACACTTAATGGACTAAAATAATGATATTTACTAAAGTATTTTTTAGACTTAACGCAAAAATTAATGATATGTAAATATAATACTTTCTTAGATTTACGCCAACATTTGACATTTTAAATAAACATCGGGAATCGAACATCAAAATAAATTCGCGAAAAAATCTGAAAAGATAGTTTTATTTAAGATATGTAAATATGTAAGCATTATGAAATAGATAAGTATATTTAAAATGTTTATATTATGCAACATGTAGTAGATAAACAAAAGCCCTTTAATATCGATCTGGTAAGCGTTTGTAAACGAAGTTTATTTATTAATCGAGGGCTTTAAAAATTAAAATCTAATTAAACCGGATGAACCCCTACTCTTTGTCCCTTATAGACTTTTGTTGCTTTAATAAGGTATTTAAATCTTATAACAACCGACAATGTTACTATAATTGTAAAATATTATTTTACGAACTCTTAACAGTTACCGATGTTTATTTAATTATGAAAAAACGTGTTTCACAGTCCTTTTGTAAGAAAAACGACGATATTATAGAAGATTTATAAGCAAATATTTCATTATCTAATTACATGGAAAAGTTCAAAGGTAAAGTGAAGAGGACGCTGCTCACCGCCGTCTGATATTATAAAATAGTGAAAAATTCTGAATTATAATTAGCTTCTATCCAAATAACCGTGCGTAATTACGTTAGTCATATCGTTTAAAAAAAAATTGAAAAAAAAAAAACGCATATTTCATTGCCATTTACTATATCATTATTGATATAATATAATGAACAATCCTAATAATTACTGTCTGTAATAAAATATTATATAGTGTAAATAACAAATTTATTACTTTGTTACGTTTGGACATGTAGATGTTTGCTAGTTAATTATGCGTTGAATGGGTTTGAAACTGGGTACTCAGATAGACCACGTAATACGTTAGTTCAGACAAAAGATTTGTGGTATCCCGGTAATGGGATGATAAAAATTCACTTGTCTTTTGAACGAAGTCACGGGCACAACGTAGTATAATATTATTATAAATTAATTCTATATAATTATTTTAATCTAACTAAAAAATCTTTTAAGAAGCCCACGGGAGAATAAGACAATCTTACAAAATTATGAACAAAGTGTAGAAACAGCATATTTAGCAAATTTGATATTATTTTCCTGCTCACGCCAACTGTATTCTAATTTTGAGTTAAACGGTATTGAATGGAAAGTTTTCGAGAGTTAAGCTGAAAAACTTGTTTCACGAAGTAGATCTCTCTTTGGGCATCAAATGAGCGAAGTTTTCTACCAAGAATGATATCGACAAAATTGCTGAACAGGCCAATGATGGAAATTATATGGACATGAAGTATAATCATACAAAACGCTATATATATATATATATATATATATATATATATATATATATATATATATATATATATAATGAAAGTTTCTTATAAACAAACTTCATATACATGAATCTATTAAAGCAGCTTTTCCACTTAAAATATATATGTAAATAGTTACATGATCCAATTCCCAACCTATTTTCGCCTTTCAAAGTAAGCATGTAATCAATAGACCGTCTGTCTAAATCCATCTTGATAACTTAGCGAAAAAGCTGGCGGAACAGATACGTTGTATTGAAAAAGTTTCTGTGTTATGTAAATTCTGTACTTTTAGCATGTGCCATTATTATTTCTATACTAAGGGATAATATATATATATATACATATATATATATATATATATATATATATATAATATGTTTGTAATCTATTAGGTACGATGTTAAAAAAACTGGTCTTGATATTGGTAACAAGTTTAACTATCAACATTGAACTCCTTTTAAGTACCTAACGTGGACTGAACCAAATTTCATGCCACCAATGTCACTAAAAGTAGGGGCCACACTAGAAGTTGATAAGGAAAACATTACACAAGTGTTTATATGAGCAAAATAGAGAGTATGCAAGATTTTTTTTTAAATTACAATAGTTAACATCGTTATATAACTGTAAAAAAATATCCAGCTCCGAAAAACTAAAACTTAGTACGTTAGACGTCAAAGTATCATACATAGAAAAATGACGACTTTAGTTTGTAGCGACGAATTCGCTAATCGTTCTATTATGATATGATAATATACTTTGACGTCATATTACGTTTGACCTGCGTACGCCCTGAATAGCGTGCGTTATAACTACTTAGAATTTCCCACTTATAGTTGCATTTTTTAATATTTATTTTCTTATCACCTCCAGGTAAATTTCTAAGAAATTAATTAAATTTCTAAGAAATCTATTGTTAACTGTAACGCCGGCGTGTCCGCGGTCGTGGAGGGAATAATCAAAAATAAGTGACATTAAAAATATTGATATACCTAGGCTTCATTCAAAAGCAATAAAGATTATAAAAAAAGATATTTTACCTTTATTTAAAACACACGCATATTTCCTATTAAGTGCATATATGTAAGTAAAATACAATAAGCGGAACATAGTAAAATTTTGAGCTGAAGGAGAAAAAAAATAACATTTTTTTTAATTATTATTGAACTTTAAACAATAAAAACACGCAAAATTTGATTGCCATCAATGAATTAATACATAATAAATATGTTGAGACATTAACACACAGCACCATCTAGTTCCATGGTAAGCTACGAGGCCTGTGTTATGGATACCAGATAGTTGATACACTACACATATACTTTTAAAATATAAATACCATTAAATACATACATATTATAAATATAAACACCCATGACTGGAGTACAAACATTCGTGCTCATCACACAAATGAACGCCCCCAGCGGGACTCGTACCCGCGACCGCTGGCACAGCAAGTAGGGTCACTACAAACTGAGCCAAACGTGTCAAATTTAATTAATGTTTTTAGCTAGATTATTTATTTTGACCTGATTTTAAGTTGATTTTTGTCTGATCTATACTAGAAGAGTTCGTTGATTTGTATCAACGTGTGAATCCTGTGAACGCTACGATATTTAGGAGTGGAGTAACATATAATATGTCTGGTTTACTACAACGCAAAAAATAAAATATATATATACACTTTCGTATCTCAAAATGCTCTGTTCTCCTTTATTCTATAATCGAGAATATAAGACCAAGAGCGATTTAATTAATAACCCCCGTCAAATTCACACCCATCACTCTTCCTTCGACCACGCCCAATTTGCTGTAAATTTCCGATTGAATAGAAGCAAGACGGGACTTGAAACCGCGATATCTTGAGATAATTCGTCGAAGCGTACAGAATGAATATCGCCCAATTTAAAATTTGAATGAAAATGAAATGGTTGAGAAAATTACTACATTCAAAATTTCCCATAATTTTTATGTTAGATTTATTGATAAAAACATTGTTATCTATATATAATTTATGTACATCCGATGATTGACAGGTCAAAAGCATGGGCTGTATAAAATATTCTTAATTGTTATTTATTGCTGAGCATCACAATGACAGAGGTGATAAGTCAGTGCGTCGTAATTATTTATTCTTGGAGATATGTAAATTATCACATTATAATTGAGTAATAATGAGATCGCTGTCATGTCGCTTTGTTCCTTTTAGTACTGCGACGCTTTCCTACATTTGACCCAAATAATAAAATATATGCGCATTTAAATTTGTATTTATAGTTTTATTTTCATTGCTATCTATATTTTTGAGGCTATGTTCATTTGTATGTGAATTAGATACGCGTATTAATTTTGACACCTGTTTATGAGTGTTTAGGGTAGATATATATTCTATCTCCAAAATTCAAATCAGTATCTTTTTTTATACACGCTACGTATAAATTTGGAGAATATAAATGAAAAATAGAGATATTTTATGACAAAATTCTACAAAGTTAACTTGAAATTCAAATGCCTTAACGCCGCCAGGATCGATATCCTCAAAAATATTATCTAGCAGAACTAAATAGCCCTGATGATACCATCTTGTGCAAAGAAACGAAACAAAAACGGCAATGCCGTTGCAAGCTGGTAATTCTAAATTGCGAGAGAACGACCAATGTTTTGTAAAGTGCTTTCTGTCTACTTTTGAACAATGAGATAGTATTCCCGTGATTATTGCGGTTTTAGCTGGAGCTTTAGAATGAAGAATTTTATCAACGGATTGCTACGATTTATGAACGTTTTCTGCTACACGTTATATCAAAACTGAAGTTTCTGACACTAAACTGTAGGTTTAATCTTGGCCTTCTTCCGCATTTGTAATATGTGACTTTCGTATATAATACTTCCATGAAGCTTATTGGGTTTCTCTGTTGGACCATGCAATATGACTTCTTGCAGTGACCAGATAAGTAAAAAGTGATAAAACGAAGTGGGAATGTTGATTGACTCGATGTTGCCGATAACCGGTATATTTAAGTAATTGCAATATTCCCTAAGGCGTGGGTGCGTAGCGTGACACAAATACTTAAGAGTTTTCCACGGTTGCTATAAAGTTAAGCTGGCATAGACGTATCAAGAAAGTTATACAATTTGTCATCTTAAGGGCTTATCTAAGATTTAATAAAAAGTTTATACCTATATTCGTTTCTAAAACTTAATTTCTTCAGAACAGTTTAAGAATACTCTTTTTTTTTATTTTACAATGCATATATCTAACGTGCAGAATGCATTTGTTGATTCTTATGCGTACAATTAATTCTATGAATATGGTTGGCATTAAAATTTATATTAACATCCTAAAACAATACCCGTTGCTAGCTATTCTATGTCTGGGGACTTATGTATTAACATAACTTTTTTTAAATCTAGGACTCCCTATACC